AATACCAAGCTTGCATATATCAAGACCCCAGCTTTCTATCAGTCAAAGATGACATCAGTCATTATTGCAAATAATATATATAGAATGTATTGCAAAAAAACGTAAAAACGAAAACGTGGAAGGCATTTCAACAACTGAAACTCACAAAAATACAAATAACACAAAAAAAGAAGCCAAGCAACTGACATATCTATGTCAATTTCCATTTGCAGTAAACGGCAAAAGAACCCAAAAAAGACTGAAAATACATAAGTTTTAATTAAATTAAAGACAAGCCCAAAACGAGAAATTCAGGTAAATTTTTTTTTTATTTGCGCAGCAATCAAGAATAATTCAATTAGAGATGTGACAGAAACAAAAGGCTTAAGTCGCGCTTATAGCCCATATTTATAGGGGAGATAAATATGCCAGCGGCTTGACAGAAATCGGGCGTTTCTGCCTTTAAGCCATGTCAGTCACGTCTGGCCGGCAGTTCTGCGTGCCAGTTTTAACAAGTCTCCCCACCCGACCCGATAATGCTAATAAATAAGTACAGAAAAACTATTCCATTGTCACCCGGCCAAGTGTGTATAGATATGGCTTAAACGATCGCCATGTGGCGGCTTCTGACCCACTTCCCTCGGCCCACTCGAAGCTGACTTCCCTCTCGCGGCTAATCCGTTGGATTTCCTTGACATTGAACCACATTTAGTGCTGCCGCTTGTTTACAAGTTTTGATACAAAAAAAAAGCATAGAATCCACCAAAATCAAAAATTCCAACCAGTTTTTGGCTTTGGCAAACCCGTTTTCAATATCTTTTGCAAGTCATTTCTCTGTGTGTGTTAGGGATGAGTTCTCCGATCGACAAATTTGTCATTGATGAATTGCAGTTTCGCAATTAAATGTCCAATTGAAATCAAGATTTATGGTCGAAAATTATTTGCTATTTGAAAATCAACAAAAAGCTGAAAAAAGCCGCCAATTGCGGAAAGCTGCCAAAAAAAGCTTTGCCAATAAGCAGCTACCAGTATTGCCGTGCTGAAGGCGAGCTACTACTTTTTTGGTTTTTATTAATTTAATAGATTTAAGTTGTTGGGAAATTAAATACTATGAAATTCCTAGTAAATTATGTATTAAATGATTTTTACATTTTTAAGGTGTCCTTCAAATTGGAGGCTATTTATAAGTTTATTTCAAATTTTAACCCACTGAAATTAACTGTTTATATTCCGCATAAAAATATAAAAAGTTTAATTATAAATCTAGCTTTTAAAACACAAATGAATTCAAATAAAATAACACCTTAAACATTTAATGGTTTAATCCCCTCACAAATTGAATCGCTAATCGTTTGGCTTCGCCCATCGATCGATTTGTGCTCCAAATCCAATTGAAAATTACCTACCTCAATTAACAGCCTAATTCTACTCACACTTCCCACACACACAAAATAAGAAAAACAACACAAATAATAAAAAATGCAAAACAAAAGATTGAAACAAACACATCAAATCGTATTGGATTTTTTCACACTTTCTAAAAAGCAATCAGCCACTGCGCCACACAACAAACAAATCAACTTCAATTTGTTGCAACAACATCGAACTCATTCAGTTACAAACAGAACCGAAGACAGAAATACAAAAAAATGCCGAAAAAAATCGAAAATGAAAATCGAGGGAAAATTGTGCAATCTGCAAAATGCGTTCGATGGAAACAAACACAAACAGAAAACAAAAAACATCCATCGAAATTTGTTTTGTCGGGAGCGCCAATGAACTGAAATGGTTTCATTAGATAGATGATCGGAGGGGCGAGGGATGGAGGGAGTAGGTCCACAGACGACTGACGACGACCGGAGGAAATAGAACTTAATTAGTGGAAAATACGACGGCCTTATGTTGTTGTTGATACGCCAAGTGTGTGTGTGCTTTTGTAGGGCGAGGGAAGTTAGCTCTAAATGAGAGGGGCCAGGTGTGAAGGTACTTCTCCTAAAGGGGCCACTGAAATGTCACCAAGTGCAGACCTCGGATGCACAAGGATAATATTTATAGATCTATTAGATTTTCTAGATATATCAGAGAGGAGATTTTGAAGTTGAAAGCATTTATTATTTATTATGTTATTATAAGAGAATTTTTAGAAGAAATAATATCAGGATATTCCTTACTCAATTCCCTCATTTTCAGTAATTATCCTTAAGATATTCATTTCTCAACTTCTCCCCATTATCCCCAATTTCCAACAGTGTATAGAAAACATTAAATTTGAAGTTCTCTTTTTGAATATATAGTTTTTCGGTCGTGTCGCCGCCTTGCCCCCAAAATGCCATCTACACATCATCTAGAACTTTGACTATTTATACGCACGCGCCCCTTTTATATGTACCTACTTCCTGAGGGCGCTTGTGCTGCGACGGCACCGTGAAAATCGGAAAAGTCAAAATCGCCAGAGCGAGATATATGCAGTCAGCAGATCCACAGCCTCATCCATATGCAACTGCAACAGAATTTTCTATTTTTGTTTGGCGCTCTCGAAGCGTGACAATTATAAGAGATTATCCAAGACTCAAAGTTGCGACGCGTGGGCGACCACAAACGATGCCGCCTGCACCCCAAAAACCACCACCCACCTCCACCCCAGAGAAAGGAAGCGTTGTTGGTTCGATAAATAAGATATAAATATCAAAACTAGGGAATGGGCAGGCAGCTACGTTGGCTCAAGTTCATGACTCTCTGCTTTGCTTTTGGCACGTGCAAATAAATATCAAAGTTTTTGGCTTGCATAAGCGGTGAGCTCCATGGTTCCCGCTGACGTCACACATCTGACTTGGATCTCGGGACGGATGCTGCAATATATATACCATGATTTACAGCGTCAACAAATGGGGATCGTTTGTGCCGGCCCGAGATGCTCAAAAGTGCATTCGCATTTCAATTAAAAACAGAAACGAAACGCGATGTGGAAGAGGAGACGATGGCGACGACGATGATGACGACGACGAATAAGGCAAAGCTGACGTAGGCGAAACACGAATATGGAATGCACTGCCATGGAGTGATCACCTTAAGCAGCCTGACATGGGGTTAACTACAAAACATAATCTAGCATAAACTATTGGGATAAAATAGAGAGATTTTAATCAAGATTGATAGATTTGAAACCTAAATTTAAGATAAATAATTAACTATTTAAATATTAAAGCTACCATTAAACCATTAATTTTAATTTTAAATATTTTTTTATTTAGTTTATAAGTTTATGAGTGACTTGGAATATTTGTGTTAAATTTCAAAGCGTTTTTATACCCTTGCAGGGTATTATAATTTCAGTCAGAAGTTTGCAACGCAGTGAAGGAGACCTTTCCGACCCCATAAACCATATATATTCTTGATCAGCATTAACATGCGAATTTTTCTAGTCATGTCCGGAAGAAATCGATTTTTTGGCCATTTTTGCGAAATTTGATAAGGGGTTACATCATTAAAATTAGCAAAAATGGCCAAAAATTTTGATTTTTTAAAATTTTAAATTTGGTATGCAGTTTTTTTAAATTAATAAAAACTAACACAAAACTGCTTTCCGAATCGAAATTAATGCATTTTTGGCTTAGTTATGATATATTTTAATTGTTACCTGCAAGGATATACAAACATTGGCTAGCCAAAGTTAGCTTTCTTTCTTGTTTTAACATAAAAAAAGTAAATTATAGAGAACTAATTTTAAATAACAATAAGTAATAGTTCAAAACAAAACTATAGCAGTTCTTTACTCCCTTACATAATCACATTCCCTAATAATTTTGTAAGCAGATCTTCCCGTGGTCTAAGAACCTAATTTTCCAACTCAGTTACCTAGCTGTGATGCCCCTGATTTATATAAAAAGTCGAGCAATTGTGCCTCCAACTCTGTAGCCAGCTGTTTATTTATGTGAAGCGCCTGCAACACTCTTAATGTTGCTGAGGTCGCGCAAATGTTGCCGATCGCTGCTGCAACTGCTGCTGCTGCAGTTGCAACTCCAACTGCGTCCACCTTTTTTGGCACACTTATGCAACAACAGCGGGTAGTGGCTGCAGTAAGTGGATGGTTTTCATGCACCAAAAGTGGACATAATTGCACATGTGTGTGGGGGCTGGCTACACCCAGACGTGGTCGTGGTCCCGATTCCCCATTAGCCAGGAAATGGGCGCTCTTTGAAGTCGCTGCTTAACTCATCTGATTGACTGACTGATGGCCCGCAACAAAGATTTCAACCAGCTGAGATTTCAATTTAGAAATAGAGAATTGGGAGTCGTCATTCTGCCAGAGGAGAGCGGTGAATGAATGATGTCTAAGCAGCCAAGGGTTCAGCAACATTTGACGTTGCCAGCAGTGGCAAAGCGACGGCAATGGCGGCGGCTTTAAATAAATCAGCCGTAAAGACAGGCGAAGGGAAAGCCACTAGCCCACGGAAAGAAAAGTCATTTAAAAGAAATTAAATAAAAGAAATCAAGCCTTAAGTCAGAAAGGTCCTACAAAACACATTGTATTCTTGTTTTTCTTGTCTTCAACCAGATCTTTGTGTTTTATTTGGCCCAAACTCGCACTCTTGTCTTGTGTCTATAAGAAACAATGCATAAAAAATACAAATTATCATCTTTAAAATCCAATTTAGCTAATTAAAATTAAACCCCATTTAAAAAAAGCTTATACAACACCCTGACACTCTGATAACCATTTAAAATCGCTCACATTTTTTGTTCTGTGTGCCCACAACTGAAATCCGTTGAGAGCGAGGGAGTCGGAACAGAATCGTGGCCTTTGTTGATGGCTATAGCAAGAGCAACAGCAACAGCAACAGCAACAGCTACACCCACACCCAGGCCAAAACTGGAGTGCAACTATTTTTAATTCCATGCAAAATGCGCACGGGCAGGCAACATGTTGCCGCTGTGGCTAGAGCCTAGAGCTTTGTCTCGAATGTTGCTGGCGGGTGTTGCCAGTCGCTGCTAGTAGCTCAGTTGAGTACGAGAAGCCGGCGCGCGAAGTTCAACCGAAAGCGAGTTGGTGCGCAGTGTGTGCCTGAAATGCATTTAAAAATAAGTGAATAAAACCGAAAACGAAAACGAAGAAGGGATAAAGGCCTCAAGATGAGCAAGAAAATGTGGAATAAGATTTTCAAATCCAAATCGCAGAAGCCGCAGCAGCCGTTGGCGAAAATCAACAAGCGGCATAGCCGGGGCATCTACGAGGAGTACCAGCAATTAAATGATCTGCTGGCCGGTGAAAAGGCGCAGCTGAATTTCAGCGATCAGGGCCAAAACGAAAAGGAAAATGAGCATGGAAATGGAAATGGCAATGGCTGTGGAAATGGGAATGGCAGCATTAACGTTTTCGAGCAGCAGCCGCGGCAAAGTTCTTTCAACTCGCTGGAGTTTAGTGAGGCGCATCAGCAGCAGCTACTGCAGCAGCAGCAATATCAGCAATCTTCACAGCAGCAGCATCAGCAACAGCAACAGCTGTCCACATTTTCGCGCGTTCGCAACACATTTTCCCTCAGGCGCGGCAACAACAAGAAACAGCTGCTTAATGCCAAGTCAAGTGAGTCGGCCACGCCCTCCGAAATGGGCGCAGCAACAGCAATAAATGCAACAACGGCAGCAACATTAACAAATCAATCAATGCAACGCGTCTTAATCGTTGTCAATAAGATCGATGTGGCCACTAACCATCAAACTAACCATTTGCATGCAACTCCAACAGCAACAGCAACGACAGCAGTTAAATCAAGTAATTTTCAATGCAAATTAACAACTAATTGATCTGTTAAGTGAACCATTTACCTGTGTGGTGAAAGCCAACTCCAGCATCTGTTTGTGTTCCCATTGTTTAATCTCTGCCAGCATTTCTGGTGACCCCTTAGCTGACTCCTTTTGCTTATCAGTCCCAGTTTAAAGCTATCAAATGATGTCACCTTAGGTTTGTTTGAGTGAAACTGAAATCGAGGAGCTTTGATTAATGGGGAGCAACGAAAAAATAACATTGTTTTGCCATTGGAAATATGTATATTCTTGGTTTAATCGAATTGAATGTTGATTTTAGGGAAAACTTAGGGAAATTCCTATAAAATATCCTACATTTGATTAATACATATTGATTTCTACACTGTTTTTCATTTGTTTACTCGATAATCCATATCATATTCACATTTTTTAGCACTAATTGCTTTGATTATTTTAAATTACAGATTCTATATAATGCAATATATCTTGTATTACAACTGTTTATTTATAAACTTTTCTAGAACTTCGAAATCCATTGTTTATTTAGGTGTAAACAAGTTTGGTTCCCAACACTTGCCCAATACGAGGCGAGGTGACCAGTACTGGGTTTTAATTTCCATGCCAGTTCCGCGCTCAGGTGTCAAAGAGTTGAGAGTTCAGAGCGTAGCCGAGAACCTGAAACCTTGTTGTCTGGGAACTGGGGGAAACTGTTTGTATTACGCTTTTACCATATTGCACACATCGCAACACACACACATTTATGGGCCCACAGAAGACTTAAGTGGCTTATGGAGCTTGCCCAACCAAACACAACAGCTAGCCAACAATAAAGACCACAAAACTATAGACTAGACGCCACCAACTAACAAAATCCCAATATGGTTCCAGGGGCGGAGGCAGGGGCAGGGTCTGGGATTGTGCAAGCAGGAACATCATATTCGTACTAGATTCAAAGTGGCATTCATCACCCGCCTGAATGGCTTTCAACTTTTGATCTAGTAAACTCTTGACCATCTCAAGATCCCTTCGCTGTGAGGAGATCTGCTAACGATCCGATTGGACGTGGAGGCCCTGCTGTTGTTATTTTTAAAGATCTCAAGTGGCATTACGTACATAATGCATGTGCATATCTCATATTCAGAGCATCATTAGCACAAGACAGATGATAGATACATAGATACAGACTAATATGTGTGGATAGTCCAACTCACCCACTTCCCAGCGCGTTGTATGTTACATTCGCGTCTGAATAATATGCGTAACACGGCTTTGCATTGATTTAAATGGAAATGAGACAGCAGGGCCCTCAAGATGTTGCGGAAATTCTGCCACTCTCTTGCCTCTTGCCTGTGCGTGTGGTTGATTGATGTAATCGCCATCCAACTGCCAGTTCGCGGGTGCTGGGCTCCGCATTATAATTGGATTTCCTTCGTCTCTGTGATTAGTGGCCCGCCTTCACTCCATTGATGGTTCAACTAGCTCTCCATATGCTGCCAGTGTTCTGCTTCTAATTATTATTTCTCATTGCCTACACGATGTAGCGGGCGAATGGCTTTTGCACAAAGAATTAAAGAATTGTTATACACTTAGCTTCGGCTTTCGATAACGATAGGCAAGATCCTGCTTGATTAGTATTGCAAAACGGAAATGGCAAGGCTCTGTTATCGATGCCTTAAAAATAGTTTTCCAGCACTAAAGATATTTCGATAACTTAATCGTTAAATTTAAATTAAAATTTGAACAATAAGAAAATAGATCAATGAATCAAGTGCCGAAGACGTGGGCAGACATCGAGAACCACCTGCCAACCGATGGAGCCTCGACATTTGCTCTTCGAGAGGCAATCCCCGCCCACGGGCCGAATGCAGAGCACAAAATAATAAGCGTTTTTGGCGGGGACCAGATGCCTGATTTGGACACAACTACATTTCAGCAGACTCCGAGCCCAGCAGATAAATAACAATTTATAGGCTGATCGCCAAAGAAGATCCGTAATAATAGCAATAAATTATTTTGGGGCTGGGACCCGGGACCCGCTGCTCCATTGTCTTTCCGATTTTGGGGAATTTATTAGTGGAACCAGACAATTTGTCGCCCCAAAAAGAAAACACAATCGACCATGAATCTGCCAGCGAGTGCGGAGCATTTCACTTGGCCGCCAGCCATTTTCACTGGGAAAGTGACAGGGCTTTTCCTTGGAGCTCGCACTTTCCCTCCAGAGTCTAGACTTCAAGCCAAGCCCTTTGGATGTGACTGGGATTCGTTGTGCCCCCAGCTAGCTGGGTGATCTGTGAGCTGATTTTTAAACACTTTGTCGAACCAATCCGAACCGAAATGACTCCCAGTTTGCTGCTCCTGTCTGTTTTGTTTTTTCACTAACATTCCCCCGACAAGCTCGTCGAAGGTGTAACTGAAACCCCAAAAATTTATATTAAAATCTCAATTTTTCCCCCGTCCATCTCGCGCAGCAACGAACACCGCCACCATGGATTCCGGCGTGGAAGACTCTATGCAGGGCGCGGATACGGATCCGCTGCCTCCGCCGCCGCCACCACTTACAACTGGATCACCGCTCCCGATTCCGGAACATGCGCCCCCCCAGAGCAGCGGCGACCTGACCCCATGTCCCTGCTGCAGCCGCACCTTCAACCTGGATGCCCTGCGCAAGCACATCGTGATCTGCGAGAAAACCTCCAAGAAGCGCAAGGTCTTCGACTCGTCCCGCCAACGCCGCGATGGCACTGCGCTCTCCACCTATGTGTTGCCCAAGAACTTTGGCCTTCCCAATGCTGAACGCACGGTAGGAGTTCCAGTTCCGCCGGCTCCAGTGAGCACAGCAGCAGTCGCCGCTCCAGCAGAAGTGAGTTTTCTGAATAGCGTTTTCAGGTTTTGATTCGCTTAGACTTATACGTGTAATCTTGGAACCCCTTCTTTTCTCAACATTACCCCTTGCAGCCCCAGAACTTCCCTCGCTCAACAGCCCGAGCCTCCATGCGCAAGGCGGCATCCACACTCTCGAACTCATCGTCCACCGAGACGCCACCGGCAGCACCCGTTGCTCCGGCTCCGCCCACGGTACGTGAACGATCCCAGGCTAAGCGCATCAAGGCACCGGCCTGCGATCGGTGTCCCCATTGCGAACGCACCTTCAATCCCAAGGCATTCGACCGTCACGTGGAGTGGTGCAAGGAGAAGGCTATCCAGGCGAACATGAAGTCGGGCAACAGCCAGGAGACGAGCAAGGCAAAGGAGCGTTTGGAGGCCAGGAAGCAGTACAAGCCTCCGAATCTGAAGTAAGCCTAGCCACAATTGACACTTTTCAGATCTCACATGTACACATTTTTGTTTCCTTTTTTCGTTTTTGTTTGCTTTGCTTTTAACCAACTTTTTGCCATGTTCGCCAGGACCAAGAGATCCCTTGCCCGGGATAAGTACTCTGGGAACCATGAGGAGCTGCTGGAAGCCGGAGACATGTCGGCCCCCAAGCCCAACATAATGTCGCTATCGATGACGTCGTCCGTGCACAGTGATAAGTGAGTATGGACGTAGAGATAGAACTCTAGCAGATAGTTAGTCTTAACCATCCGATGCTCTTCTGGCGTTGCTTAGTCGTTGTTATTTGTCGTTGACTAATCCCCCGTATGGAGTACCCGTAATCAGTTGCTAGCCACCGTCGCGTAGTTCCAAATACACACTGTAGTTAGTCCTCTAGCCAGCGATCTTCACTCATCCGCAATGCTTCTCAGCGCCCAAGTAATCAAAGCACGAACTTCCCCTGCCGCCACCAAGGAGAGCCGTGGGTGGGCAGGCACCAAGGTCACCCAGAACCAGGTGAGCCTGGACATGTCCAACGATGAGGATGTGGCCTCTTCGCCGGCATCCAGTGTGCGGGCGACTACTTCCAGCCGCCGCTTAAGCAAGCGCCAACACATAGCGGAAACCTGCAGCGAAATCGATGAGACAATGGACCGGATCAAACGTAATTCCCTCAAGCTGGCCAGGTTGGACTGCGAGGACGCGCCTATACTCCAGCCATCGGCCAAGACCCGAAGGGCTGTTATAAAAAGGGGTAAAGTTGATGCAGTCGACAAGGAACTCAGCCTGCCAAATCTACCGCAAGTCACCATGACGTTCGACGAGCTCAACGGTTTGATCAAGCGCAAAGGTAGGGAACTGCTGATATGGGTGGGGACTGGGCGAGAGCTTCACCGTGGCATGCAGTTTGCCAATTAACTAGAGATCTAAGAACCCGGAACCACTTCATGATCGTTAATTAGTGCGCGCCGCATCGAAGCGCATTCGAAAGATCAGCAGAGCATTAAGCTCAGCCAGGCGCCGGTGCATTCATATTGGGCTGGACTTTGAAATATGTTTAGGAATCGTAGAATATGAAGCCAAGGGTGATGAGGGGGACTTACACAAGTGATAGGTAGGGCTAGATGGTAGATACTATGTATTGGGGTTGGGTATATCAAAAATAGACTTTAGGGCAAATGGAGGGAAAATGATAAAACTAATCATGGGTTTTGTGGCAGCAGAAGCCTTATTTTCGAATAAGATTTCGATTACGGACCTTTTATGACATTATTAGCGGCTTTAATCCTGAGAACTTGCAATACTTGTCCGATATTCATCCGTTTGAGCGTCCGTTTTTGAGCATTTAGCTAAACAAATGCAGAAAGTCTGATTCTTTGTCTGTATTTAAAATCTTTAACGGACATTTTCCGGATCCAGCAACAATAGAACAAAACAAAAGCATCTTCTTAGCACCCATAAACTTTAGAGATCTAATGTTAATTAGTTTAGTTTTCTTGTGCTCAGTAATTTTAGGTTTTATTTGAATAGATTCCTCAGGGTATTAGAAACCTTACCTTAATAATAAACCATTCCTAACTCACCATCATCGACCTACCTCCAACCCGCATGTGGCGCTCTATATGCTCAGGTGGCACACCCATCTGCAATGTGCAAATGGATGAGCAGGAAATCGGCACACTGACCACCAAGCAGCGCTCCGCCACATCGGCGTCAATTGTGCGCCAGGCACGCAGGCGCATTAGCACCCGGGAGAGTCCGAGCCTTGGATTGCAAAGTCACCAGCAGGAATCACTGCTGGCCAAGAACCTGGACTTTGGCTCTTTTGATTCCAGCATGGTGCCCTTGCAGCGTAGTTGCAATTATTCTGGATCCGACGACGACGACGACAACGTTGACTCTCCGCGGGCAGAGATCCAGATTAAAATGGAGGCCACCACCATGCGCACCGTGTGCAGACCCCCGAAGAAATCGGGACATAAGTTAAAGCACTCGGAGTCTATGCTGGCATTGCCCATGCCAGGATTGAAGCAGAGTCTGGAAGCCATTAACAAATCCATGGGTCAAACAGTATTGCCACGCTTGAAGCTGGGAAATGAAAGGGCCGAGTACGATCAGGAGGAGGAGGATAACTATAACAGCGACCTGGACTACGAAGAAGAAGGACCCTTAGTCAGATACAGTCAAGAGGATAACCAAAGCGACGAGCAGGAGGAAGAAGTGGAGGAAGAGCCGGTACTAAAGCTGCCTCCTTTGGTCAAGCAGAACAGCAACATCACACGCCGTTTGGTCGTAGAGCAGGATGAGAATGGCACCGTGTATATCAAGTCGGGTCCCAAGGCCAAGCGCAGGTTTGTAACCAGCGAGAGGTCCTTTAAATCAAGTTTATCCTTCCCAGACTACGACGACAGCCAGACAGAGCACAGATGGGTGGTTGTTTTCTAAGCTTTATATATATTTAATTGCAAAATTCTTTTTAAACAGCGGCCTTGGCGACAAGTACGATCCCTTCCTCTCGGCCAAGCGCCAGCTGGAGGAGCTCTGCTCGCCCAGCACGCCGCCGCCAGAGGAGGAGGTGACCACCATCAGATCCCTCATGACACCCACAGCGACAGCCACACCTAGTATCGCCATGACCACATCGTTGACCTCGACAGGCAGCACGAAGCCGGTACAGATTGCTTCAAAGACGACGACTCCAACCTCGAATTTCCGACGCACTTCATCGCTGAGAGGACCTCGGCGCAATGCGCCTCTGCTGAACAGTCGTCCGCTGTTCGCCACCAACTACCGCCCTACCATCCAGCGCGGTCTCTCGGATGAGGGTCCCATCTCCACGAACTTCCTGAAGCCAGAGGAGTATGACGAGATGCCGGTGAGAGCTGCCTGTGGCAATGATTTCCACAGTCCACGCGTTGTCCGCCGCGACACGAGTGCCTCCAACCGCAAGCAGCCTCTGAAGTTGCCAGTAAGTGGAACCAACGAAGGTGGCAATACAACCTCTTCCGTTCAGCCCACGAGGACTGTGGCCAAAACGGACTCGCTGGCGGTGTTCCTGAAGTACGAGCACGAGCTGGAGCAGCTGAATGCCAAGGCGGCGGAGCTGGCCACCGCAAGCCAGTTGAACAGCAAGGAGTTAAAGGACAAGAGCAACACGCTGAGCAAGCAGAACTCGGCCAAGAACTTGGGCCAGAGTACTCCGACTCAGTTGCCGCCCTTGACTCCAACGGGGGCGGTGCCACCTTCACCAACTCTAGCCAAGGAGAACCACTACCCTCCCATAGCCACACCTCTGCGCTTAGAGCCGATAAGCAACAAGCCAGCTATGATAATGAATCAACAGCCCCCGCCACTCACGCCCATCAAGCTGGAGAGCATTTTTGGCCCCAGAAGGGAGCTGGGATCGGTATCAGGAGCTGGCTCAGTAGCCGGGGACTACATAGACCCCAAGCTGATCAATGCCTGCGATAATCTCCATGTGAACAGCGGTATATCCTCGGATGCCAGCTCCACGCCGCAACAGCTATCGCAGAGCAGGAGTAGGAGCAGCTCCCAATCGACCATCACCCACGAACGAAGGCAATCCGGCGAGGCCAGGAACCTGCTAAAGCGCAAGATGCGACTCGGACGCAACCAATTTCTGTACGATGCCTCGCCAGAGGATGCGGACGCCTCCTCGGGCTGCTGCTCGGCGGACGACGAGGCCAATCGATCTTCGATGGAGTACGACGAGCAGTGCTGGCAGCAACAGCAAAAGCAACTGCTGGCCAATCCTTTGCCCCTGGTCATGCCCATGGTGCACAGCGCCATGCCCACCTTCGACGACTTTGACTTCGAGGAGTTCCTCTCCTCATTCGAGAACGAGAATGACGACGAGCAGTTCCCGCTGTTCAAGGACTGTCGCGAGTTCCTCCTGAATCGCTCGACGAGCAGACACCGCTCGTTCCAGAAAGCAGCGACTTCGACACCACAGACAGCCACACCACAGATCAATCCACAGCTACACGGCCACCAGTCCAAGAGCAAAGATAATTACGCCCATGCCACCCACAGGTCCGATGCGAACACGTCTAGCCAGAGCCAGCCAGAGGAGCGCCTGCAGCGCCAGCAGTCAAATGCCTCGAGGGGCCACGAGGAGAAGCAGAGCCGCTTCCAGGAGTTGGAGCGACGCGCTGATGCCGAGGATCAGCAGAAGCGCGAGATCTTCATCAGCATTGAGACCGAGGCCAATGCCCAGGGACGTTCGCCCATTTCCCCAGAGTCACTCCGACATATGGTCGGCAATCCGCAGACGCCCATCGATGTGCTGCACATCGAGAACGGAAACGAGCCGGAGCACGCCAGGTTCAGCAAGATCAGCGATACGGAGGACGCAGGTCAAGAGCCCGGGGATCGGGCTAGTCAGTTGGGCAGCAATACAAACACCAACAGACTGGCCCCATCCTTGAGTGCATCCACACTGGCGCCCAATGTACAGCTGAACAATGCCAAGAACCTGATGCAGCAGATGCAAAGTGATTTCCGCCAGCTGGGCGAGGAAGCCAGTGCTTCTGTGCGTCGCCAGCTGATGTTAAATAGCGGGCGATCGGAGGAGCACCAACAGCAGCAGTTCAGGAATCAGGAAACAGGACAGCAAGAGCAGCAACATCAACATCAACATCAGCAACAGCAGCATGCACCCCTAACTCCATCGCCATCGGCGGACTCGGATGAGCTGAGCAGCTTGGATGGTTATCCCATGTCATCGTCGCAGTCCTCACGCCGCGGAGCCAGCTCCAAGCTGAGCTCGGATTCTGCATACGGCAGGTGAGACATAATTACCGGATAATGTGTTATAGAAGTTAGCTTCCTTGTGATTATTTTATTTTATTATTATTTTTTTTTTTATTGCAGCAGCAATTCCCCGTACAGCTTGTCGCGTCAGCGCTCCAGTGAACTCCAACCCATAGGCGGCACTACGCACCGTTCCCAGGGACTCTTGCGTCCGCATACAGCCAGTGCCAAGTTGCCCAGCACCACGTCGGATGCCTGCACTCAGGCACAAACCCAGTACGGTACACTCAAGGCACGCCAGCGTCTCTTTGGGAATGGCGGCTCAGTAAGTGGTGGTGGCAATGGCAATGGTGAGGGTGTCGAGTGCTCAAGCAGTGGATCGGAGGATAGCTCACAGCAGCCAATACAGCAGCAGCAGCAACAGCAGCAGGCCAGCAACTACAACTATCAGCAGCAGCAGCAGCAACAGCATCAGCTATCCCAGCCAGCTTACAACAACAACAACTTACCGATGACACCAACAATCTCTCAACACTCGCTGCTGAGCAACAATTCCAACAACTCCATGAGTTCGAGTATGAAAATGTCGAAATTCTGTCACGAATGTGGCGCCAAGTTCATCATTGAGCACGCCAAGTTCTGCATGGATTGCGGAGTGCGGCGGATGGTGCTCTAGAGAGAAAGATTAACCCCCACAAAACACTAAAAAATGAAAGCACACAGAACAAGTCGCCAAGTCTCCGCAGAGGAAGGAGTAGGCGGAGCCCTTGGATATATACCAAATGTAGTTGTTTATGGAGAGAACCTTAACACACACAAACAGCTTATATAAAGAATAATAATAATAATATATATTTTAATACAAACCAAAACCAAGCGATACACGAGGGTTTCTTTTTTTTAAATCGAACAAAACTTTAATCAACTAAACTTGGCATTAATTTCACATTTAGAATTGGCAAAAAAACAAACGAAAAGAAATTCTTCCACTTCTTTGGAAAGGAAGTAACTTAATACACAAAAAAAAACAAAAAAATAGCGAACAAACGACGCAAACAATTTGAAACACTTTAACAAAGTTGTTGATTAATAACAAAGACTGAACGAATTTCATCGAGAAAGCGTGGGGAAAAAAATGGATTACATAATATGCAAAAACGAAACTATTTTTAAACACATTTTTTCGAAAACCTAACGCAGCAAACTCCATTGTATTTGTATTTTGTAAACGTTTTACTAATTATATAGACACTGCTTAAATATATATATATACGAATATAAAACATTTCGTTTAAAACGTCCCAGTTGGTTCCTTAACCCTTGTAGGATCTCTTTGATTAGTCCACTTCTTATACCGAATATCTTTCTCTTTTTTCTTTCGTTCACAGCCCCATGATATGGTAACGAACCTCATCGAACATATGGTTAATGATATCTTAATATAATGTATAAGTAAAAAAAAAAATGCAAGAAACTCCTGTTTTCCTGTTCTACAGATTCAAAATTAGATTTTGGTTCTCTTCTAGAGGTTTATATCCCAGCCCTGGAGGCCTGTCCTTACTCACTAGTCACATACGTCTTGGCTTAAACTTTATCTCCAAACTCAGTGTCTTATAGACTTTGAGAAGCCTCCCAGCCTCATGGATAGGCGAGCAATTTTCTGCTCCAGTTCTTGCATATTGGCAAGCATACTTGCTTGTAGACCCTCGGAACTGCACCTGGATGAGTCTGTTGTGCAAGAAGCTTCCTCGGAGCTGCCTTCTAAAAATTAAATAAAAAAAAGAGGCGTAAGGAAAGAAGAGGTTAACAGGATTTTGCGAGCTATGATTAAAATCTTTCATCACGTTTGCTTTAAAGGGTTTTTCGAAAAAGTATCCTTTGTACGAATGCCTCACATTTTTGTAATTATTTTGAAAACAAACAATTGACCAATTGATCAGGGAATTGTCATATACACATAGCACTATGATACCCCCACCCTTACCTTCTTCGGTCGACAGCTCCTCAATTGTATCCCCGCGCACACTAATGTCCAGCGGCATCTTGGCAAACCATGGTGTGCGCTCGTCCTCGGCTTCCAGGTCACTGCTCGTGTCCTCGTCGGATGATTCTTCCTCCTCGATGTCCGGCAGGAACTGTGGCCTCTGCTGGGAATCCTTCTTCTTGAACAGATATGTGCCTTGACGCTTACACTCCTTGATGATCAACTTAAAGTCCTTGTGATGGCGCAGGGTGACCGGATTGCCCACTAGTATTAGCAAGGATTTAGGTCGCGACAGGAGGACATTAACCCTGCGAGGATTTCGCATGAAACCCATATTGGCGAAAGAGCGCACCAGGCTGGCAATAATGATGGGCTTCTCGCGGCCCTGATAGTTCTCCACGCTGCCCACCTCCACGTTGTCGTGACCCTGGCTGTGCAGCAGTTGGGTTATTACCTTACCCTGGGCCGTGTACGGAGCAACTATGCCTATGTCCGACTGGTTTACCATTCTTCCCCTGCCCAAGCCATCTTGGAGCAGTCGTTTCACATACCAGCAGACGACCTGCGCCTCCAGGTGATTGAACGAGCTGGTTGAGTGTTCCTCCCTCTTGGTCACTCCATGCGTGGCCTGGAAGATGATCGGGAAGGCCCCGTTGGGCAGGAGCTTCCAGTTGGCCGCGTGGTTAACCTCCGAGGCTGGAGCCTTGGCAATCAGTTCGCCGTTGTAGTACAATTCGTTGAACAGGCGCACGATCTGCGGATGGGATCGGTAGTTCTGACGCAGGCGCGTCTGCAGAGTGCGATCATAGTTTCCGTTGCCATCCAGCTTGTAGGATTCGGAACGCAAGAGGCGCTCCATCAGGGAATGGCTTAAGCCCAAGGATGCCGCCCGATTGCTCTTGATCACGGCACCCAGCTGCTTGTGGTCACCGGACAGGATGACGTGACAGTCAGCGCTTTGCTTCACACCCATGATCCCGATCAAGGTCTCTGGCTCCGTGGACGCACCGGCTTCGTCGATGAAAATGTGGGTGAAATGATTGTGCTTGCCGAGATTGTCGCAGACAAAGCGTCCCACGGTACAGAGAGTGGCCACCGTAATGCCATACTCGAGTATGTGTGAAACTCCAAGGTGCTCGTAACCAAGCTTCGAGCAGTTGGAATTCTTCAGGAGCAGCGCCGGGACAGACGCGAGTCCTTTGCGGTGGATGGAACGGGAGTAAACGCGGATCAGCTGGTGATTCGCCGAGGGCTTATCCTGTTGGGCAAAGGCCTCACGCAGGCGGACGTTGCTCTGGATATACTCGCACAACTTCAGGGCGATCGTGTCGCAGGCGGAGTTCGAACCGGCGGTAACAAGGATGCGGCTTCGCGGTTGGTGAAGGCGCAGCTGTAGAATGGCCTCCACAATGGTTGTGGTTTTACCAGTGCCTGGTGGTCCGAATACGATGTAAGGTCCATTCGGATTGGGCCCTGCCACAATCCTCTGGACCGCCTGCAACTGCTCGGCATTGGAATAAATGGTCGGATTTAACAAGGAAAGAGCCACCGCTGGTCTGGGCAGAGCCGGAGGCTGCACCCGCATCCAGCTGGGCAGGCATTCGCCATTCCGAAACTGAATCATCGACTTGCTCAGCATTTCGGTCATCCATCCGGGAAAGGGATAGAGGTAACGACGCACCGCTGGCATCTCCTGGAGCACTTTGAGAGCACGGTACATGTAGCGGAAGGGTATGCGTCTGGAGCGTAGGATCACATGGAAGCGCTGGCTCATCAGGTAGTCATCTCCCGGGAAGTTTTCGCGGCTGAAACGGAAGTGGACACAGGTGCGTGCCACCTGTTCCACTGAGCCCACATACCGGCGCATCGGATCCTTCGAAGGTAGAAATTCGTGCGCGTGCGGCTGCAAAGCCAGTATTGGCTGCTTGGGCAGCACAGAAGCTGCCAGGCTGCTCTTGGGCACCAGCACAACATCGTCCAGATTGGGGGCAACCACGTCCTCAGCATTGACTGCCGTGTGGGCAAGGGCCACCTTGTACCTATATTTGGAAACCCTCTGCACGGCCACATCCTTTTGCATTAGCTGTGCATAAAGCTGCATGGTGGAGAGGTCCTCAATCTCCAGCAGTGTCCGCATCACGGAGCACACATTGTAGAACTCCAGGCACCGTGTGCTCAGGTATTCCGCGAAAATGGCATTCTTGGAAGTCAAATCTGAATCGGTGAATTCAGAGGCGAGGGCCTCCATCATTTCAGGGCAGGGCGGAAAGTACGGCAGCTGGTGCATCAGCGCCAGGAGTCTGGAGAAGATTTGCCTGTAAGTACCTTGCTGCTCCATCTAGAATCTAGGGAAAATATACTTACAGCTTTTGCTTGGTCAGGGGGTCCACCTGCTTGGCCTTGACATCGTTGGTCACCGGCTCCGCTTGGCCCAAGAGGAAACTGGTAGTTTTCTTGCGTTTCAGGTGCAGATCGGCGTAGCAGGCGATTTGCGACAGCTGCTGATCTAACTGTAAATCGCTTACAGTTACAATTACATACTTTTTATAGACGACTCAAGCACTCACCAGTTCCAAATTCACGTTGGTGTGCATTCTTTAGGCTTGGCTTAAACGAGAAATTAGCATTACAAACACAATATTCGGAAGGTTTAAACACAAGATTGTGAGACGCGCTTTTGGCGAGCGAAAAATGGCGGTTGGAATTCGCGGAATTACGGATTGCCGAAATGTAAGTCGGAAATATACCGCAAAATACAACCTCTTCAAAAGACTGTCCACTCTTGTATATCGAAATTGTAAGAAGTTCCCAATTAACAAACTATTTATAGTTAAACAAATAATTGAACAAAAATAAATTAGATAAAGTATCAATAACTAAAAAAAAAAAAACTAAAAGTATTTCTAATTATAGTAAAACCTTTGCTTTATCTTAGCTTAAAGAACCGATTTTGTGAAAACCTATATAGGGGCACAGAGAGAGGAGAGAGCTGTGAAAGTATTTGTTTGTTTATTGCAGATTAAAATTTTAAAAATTATTAAAAATCCCGCCATCATATATTTATCGCCCTCTGTCTGTCACTTTCAACACTGGACTCGATTGTTTTCGAAGTTCGAAATTCGAACTCGGTGTTACGTGGTATGTTTTCCCGGTCGTGCAACGGTCACATTGCCGGTTTGTTTACAAATACTGCGTTTTTTCGCTGTGTTTATTTAATTAGAGCTGTATAAAATGGACAGCTCGGACTCGAACGAGGTTCTAATCGAGGAAATCGACAGCAACGATGTGCCAGAGAACGAGCTGGGGCAGTTCCAAGAAACGGAGCCGCTGCACGTGGTGGACATCATTGACTGCACCGCCGAGGACGAGACGAGACGGGGCAACTTTGAGGCGGACGAGGAGGAGGGAGCTCTAATTAAACGCTATGTGCAGGGCGTCCAGTGTCTGGAGTTTCCCGACTTTTGCACCAAGCTGGAGGCAAGCGACGATGACGAGGAGGGTATAGGGGAGGATGATGAGGCAAAAGCCGACAGTAAGGATGAGCTGCCAAGCACTTCAACAGGTCGCTCGAAGCCGCTGCCGCTACCGCGAGATGCACAGGCAGCCAGCGGCAGTGGACGAGGCGGGGGCTTCCGCAAGACGCAGTTAAGCCCAGCCTTGCAGGGTCTGATGGGCGAGGCGAACCTGAGCTTTGCCTACGGACGGTACGAGACCGCCGAGCGTATTTGCATGGAGATCATCCGGCAAAATCCGCTGGCCAGCGAACCCTTCTACACGCTGGCCGAGATCTACGAGAACCGCGACGAGGTGAAGTTCCTCAACTTTTCAACTCTAGCGGCGCACCTTAATCCCCAGGATCGGGACATGTGGATTAGGGTATCCGATCTTCTCGTGCAGCAAGGCAACCTGGCTCGCGCCCGTCTCATCTACACCAAGGCCATCAAGATGCTGCCCAAGGTGTACCAGCTGCGGCTGCGAAAGGCGCAACTTCTGCAGAAGATGGGCGAAACTAGTGCCTCCATGTTCACATACCTGAAGATGCTGCCTCTGATGCCGCCGGAGGAGTGGAAGATGTGCCTGAGCACGGCCAAGAATGTGGCTCGGTACTTCCATGTCCTGGAGAAGCACACCCTGGCTTTGGAGGCCATGGAGGGGGCATATAGTGTGTGCGGCGTGCGCTTCACCCTCGAGGACATCAACATCTACCTTGAGCTGCTCATCCTGAACAAGCAGTATGCCAAGGTGCTGAGGTGCCTGCGAGAGCGCACCAACTTCGAGCTGGAGAACGACCAGGAGGAGAGCCTGGAGCTCATCTACTTCTGCGAAATTCCCGATGACTATGTGCCCGAACTGCGGGCCAAGCTCTGCGTCAGCCTCATTCACATGCGGGCCCACCATTTGCTGGGCTACCTCATCCAGAATGTGCAGGAGCACATCGCTCTCACGGCGGATCGCGTGGAGCTCTACATGGACATCACGGAGGCCCTGATGCAGGAGCACAAGTACGCCGAGGCCATTGCGTTGATGAGTCCGATCACCGATGGCGACACCGTCGAGTGCCCGGCGTTCGTATGGCTGCGCCAGGCGGAGTGCCTGCGGCATTTGAACCGCACCAACGAGGCCATCCAGTGCTACGAGAAGGTGGTGCAGCTGGCTCCCTTCTGCTACGATGCGCGCTTCACGCTCTCTGCCCTGCTAAAGCAACAGGGCAGGCACGAGGAGGCTGTCCAGGCGCTGGAGCAACCAGGCGAGACCGAGGGACAGCCGCTGATCGCCCGCCTGCTGTACGAGCGGTGTGTGATGCTGCAGCAGATCGGTCGCATCGAGGAGTTCCTAGATGTGGGCTATGCCCTGCTGAGTCGCCACTCCATTAAGCTGTACAATCGGGAGGAGATGATGGCGGCGGCAAACGGAGGCAGTGCGTACAATGCCGACAGCCTGAAGACCATCATTCAGATGCGAACTATGGCGGTGGACAATGTGGCGGAGCAGGAGCAACAGGATCCCACCAAAAGTACCGCCACCGAGGCTTCCGATCTGACTGTCAAGGACGAGTTCAATCTCTTCCTCGAGCTGGTGCGCACGGCCTTCAAGCACAGAATGTACGGGGCTGCCGAGAAGATATGCTTCGCCACGGTGACCACGAAGAGATTTACCTATTATCACCACGAGATTGAAAGGATCATGGTGCTGACCTGCTACTTCAACGAGGACTGCGCCATCGCATTTTCGTATCTGCGCGAGCTGATCGCCAAGCAGCCGAGCCATATCAACCTGTGGAACATGCTCTCCCTGATGATCCAGCGGGGCGACGAGGTGCGCTACTATCGCTACATGCGGCGTCTGATGAACCGCCATCCGGTGGACACCAAGCCGATGCGCATCTTCCAGGGTCACTACCACCTAAACTGCGGCTCCTTCAAGTACGCCCTTAACATTTACATGCCCATTCTGCGCGAGAATCCCGATCCCCTGCTTGCCCTTTGCATAGCCGTGGCCTTCAACCAGCTGGCGCTGCAGAAGAAGGTGCTCCGCAAGGCGGCAGCAGTGTCTCAGGCGGTGGCCTTTGGCAATCGCTACATGGAGCTGAGATCTGCGGGTACAGAGCTCGGAAATTGCGCTGCCCAGCAGGAGATTTACTACAACATCGGACGGATCTATCATCAGGCAAACATCCAGCATCTGGCAGTAGTGTACTACGAAAAGGCACTGGCCGTGCCAGTTCATCCTCTGATAGCCGAGCACGATTCGATCCTGGGCCTGCAGCATGAGGTGGCATTCAACCTGCATCTCATCTACCGAGCCAATGGTAACAAGTGGAAGGCGCGGCAGTGTCTAATGCGTTACTGTGTGGTTTGAATGCATGATTCGCATATGATTTGTTACTATTGTAAGTACTTTTATAAATTTAATATAATATTTTAATAATAACTTTATATGCAAAGTAAAGAGAGTTTAAGAAATTGTAAACTCTTGTCTATGGGTTTCGCTTAATACATGAACTTTAGTCTTATTTGTTACTTTTAACTTTTCCACTTCCGCGTAAGAAAAATTATAGTTATTTTTAATCACACGCGTTAACTTTCTGGTTTTAGTTAAAAGATTTCTTCAATAACTTTTGTGTAGGTTCAAAAACTGAATCGTTTCGTTTTAAGAACTGTTCACTAATGAAGTCAAACAAAAGCTTTTGTTTTAATTGAAGTGAAATGTATTAAGGGGAATAACATTATATAGCTTGCTTATCTATTTAAGATTGCACTTTGAAAGCTTTTATTGCGAGGCCCTTTAATACATTTATAAATATTTATGATCTTAAAACAGTCGATGATAGTGAAAAGTTAGTCATTGAAAGGTAATTATTTCTAGAAGCTACGATCAACGCTTTAAACCACTTATCCATCTTTTAGAAAACTTTAACATTTTAAAGAATATATATATATATTTTTTGCTTTAATCTTAAGGCATAGATTCATATCCTAAATCAATAATTGTAAATGAGTCCCTAAAAATCCAATGAATACTTTATCAACAAGAAAGAAAGCTAACTTTGGCCAGCCAAAGTTTGTATATCCTTGCAGGTAGCAATTAAAATATATCATAACTAAGCCAAAAATGCATTAATTTCGATTCGGAAAGCAGTTTTGTGTTAGTTTTTATTAATTCAAAAAAACTGCATACCAAATTTAAAATTTTAAGAAATCAAAATTTTTGGCCATTTTTGCGAATTTTAATGATGTAACCCCTTATCAAATTTCGCAGAAATGGCAAAAAAATCGATTTCTTCCGGACATGTCTAGAAAGATTCCCCTGTTGATGCTGATCAAGAATACCATATATATGGTTTATGGGGTCGAAAATGATTCCTTGACTTAGAAAATTATTATTTTGTATTATAAAATCTTAATTTTTTTTTAAATTAAAAATATCATAACTCGGCCAAAAGAGCATTAATTTTAAATCGAATAACTGTTCTCTGCAAGATTTTCTACAGTTAATAAATCTGCATACTTCATTTAAAAATTTTGAAAATTCAATTTTTCATCAAAATCAAAAATTTTAATGATGTAACCCCTTATAAAAGTTTGCAAAAATGGCAAAAAAATCGATTTCTTCCGGACATGTCTAGAAAGATTCGCCTGTTGATGCTGATCAAGAATATATATGGTTTATGGGGTCGGAAATGATTCCTTGACTTAGAAAAATATTATTTTGTATTATAAAATCGGATTTTTTATATTAAAAAACTTCTTGATATTTTTAAATTAAAAATATCATAACTCGGCCAAAAGAGCATTAATTTTAAATCGGAAAACTGTTCTGTGCAAGTTTTTCTACAGTTAATAAATCTGCATACTTCATTAAAAATATTTTGAAAATTCAATTTTTTATCAAAATCAAAAATTTTAATGATGTAACCCCTTATAAAATTTTTCAAAAATGGCCAAAAAATCGATTTCTTCCTAACATATCTAAAAAGATTCCCCTGTTGATGGTGATCAAGAATATATATACTTTATAGGGTCGGAAAGGTCTCCTTCACTGCGTTGCAAACTTCTGACTGAAATTAGAATACCCTGCAAGGGTATAAAAATGTATCTTTATTTAAAAACCAAAATATAATGATACAAATTCAAGGAAGTGAACAGGAGGTACAACTCAAGACAAGGCAGTAAGGGATTCCACTGAGCCTCAGCAGGCGGGCATGGAACAGCGGCGTGGCTTAACCAGACGCTTGGAGCACGGTTGTCCGCCATTTTGTGGCTCACTGATCACGTAGCGATAGCTCTCGGAGAAGCCTGATCCGCAGCTAACGCTGCAGGGTGACCAGTTGGACCAATCGGACAGAACGCAATCCTTGGGCAGCTGGTGGGGATCGGCAGCCGAGCGGGTTGCACTGCGGATCACATTGCAAGTGTTTAGGCAATCGTTTTCCGTGAGGAAGTTGTTCCGATTGCCGCGGCATCCGCCGTAGCTGAAGGATTCGCAGCGCTGCGACTGCGGATTGTAGGCATACCGCTGGTAACTGCCACGGCAGGGACCCGCATCCGGGGCCTGGACACAAATGTCCTTGGCCTGGTCGGCATTGATGTGACAGTTGGTGGGATTGACGCACTCCTTCTGCTGGTGCAGCTCCATGCGACGCGTGCAGTTCTCCTTCTCCGGTCCATTCTCTAGCAGCAGGAGGCGGGTGCGTATGGTCACGCCCTTGCCGCAGGTTGAGCTGCACGGACTCCAGTCGCTCCACTGAGAGGTGGGACAATTGGGATCGGGCAGCTCCACCTGCTCGTAGGTGCAGTCCGGTCGCATGCACTTGTTCTTCTCCACAATCGTGATGTGGGGGCATCGCTTGCGTCCCAAATGATTAACGAAAGTACGCGTTCGCATGGTGATACCTATGCCGCAACTGGCCGAGCACTCGGACCACACGCTCCACGGCGAGGTCTTGCACAGACCGGCGCCCTCGCCATTGTCTCCCACCAGGGATTGCGAGTTGGCCAGGTTTTCGCCCTCGTCCTCGTCGCGATCCCGCTGTGAAGCGGAGCCATCGGCACACTCTGGTATGGGTGCCACGCACATCTCCTTGGAGATCAGCTGGCGACTGCACTTGGCCTGCTCCGCCGCCTGGGGATAGAGATACTGACGATTGCGCATACGGATACCCTTGCCGCAGCTCACAGAGCACGGGCTCCAGGCGGAATACTCGCTCACACGGCACTCCGCTGTGGAAATAGAGATTTTCAATAATACAATGTATGTTTCTCCGCAAAAAACCCACCTCTTGTGTCCTGCTCCTCGGCATCGTCGGACACCTCCAGCTGAAGGGCCTGCAGGAACTCATCGTCACAGTTTCGGGAGACAATCTTCTCACGCCGCACGTACAGTTTGGCCAAAGGAGTCATCTCTCTGCTCTGCGGATTGTAGAAGGGAGCCCTGGGGTCCTCGGGATACATGGTCGTGATGCGGTACATCCTCTCCGGCGGCTGTGTCTCCGTATTGGGTGACTATCAAAGACTGACCGTTAATATACCAAAAAAATGAAGATTAATTCTAAGCCTCACCATATAAGAGATTCCACTGTCGGTGCCGGCATCCCAGGGATACAGATCAAAGTCCATTGACTCCTTCCAACTGCAGTCTTCGGTGCACAGATCCAACCCACTGATACCCACCACCCAGTCGGGCGAGGGACCAAACATGGACACCAGCGACACCTTGGGATGCTTGCGATCCACACGGAACTTGGAGGAGGTGTTCTGGTTAACATTTGGGTACCACAGACCAGCGGCCTTGATCAGGGTGCGCAACTTGGGTCCGTTAGCTCGCAGCTCCGTTTCCAGAGCAGCCGGTGATCCCCATTCGGCCAAAGAGCGGAAGCCGGCGGTGGCTATGTGATTCTCGCCCCAAAACGAGAAGTTGGACTCATGCGAGGCGCCAATCACATCGGAGAAGTGGGTCAGCCAGATGGCGAAGGGATAGTCCTTGGGATGCGTCTCATTCGACCAGATGCCCTCGAAAACGAACTGGAGTTCGGATAGGAGCCGTTAGTTTTCAGAGATTTATTAAGCAATCTGTGACCTACGCTGTACTTGGCTTCATCGCAGGCGCAGCACTCCTTCTGGGCAGCGGCTGCATCCGGTTTACGCTCACAAATCACCGTCGACAGTTGGCCATCGTCGGCAAACCAGGCGCGTGGCCCCTCGTACACCATGGCCGAGAGCGATACACAGCCGGAGCCCGACTCCGGGGCCACCCACATCACCTGCACCTCCGTCTTGGGCAGATCATCTGCCTCGGAAACGGTGTTCACGCACCGATCGTTGAATTGGGTCAGAGAATCACTGAACAACTGGAAGCGACCCACGCGCCTAGGACTGGCGGCCTGGGGACGGCGAGCTCCAGTGTGGGCCTCGGCAGCGATGGTAAAATGTGTAAAGTGTTGGATTTTTGTGTGAGTGCGGGAACCGAGCAAAAGCACTGTCGAGAAATTTGAATTCAAAAAGCGATTGTAAAATATCGATTAAAATGATCGAATAAATGGAATCACAGCTGTGATTTGCAGCACTGGTCTGATCGGACGCTGCACAACACTGCTCACGCACACACTCTTTTCGAGAGAACGCGCAATTTAGCAAATTTTTGTTTTGTTTTGTTATACCCTATGTATTGTTAATTATCTTGTTTAAAGTTACCTTAGCATGGGTTTCTTGGCGGACTTGATGGCGCACGATGGCCAAATAGCCTTTGAAAAGTGCGGTGATGTGGTGGTGTCGCCCAAAGACAACCAGATAGCATTGTTTTGCCACTTTTGCAAGGATCTCATTACACATCTGCCGCAGTTCCTGCGACACCTTCATGAGGCCCACGGCGATGTGCTACATTTTACCCAGGAGCACAATGTCTACAGCGTGGAAGAGCTGCTTTCCGGCGAGGAAGCAGAAAAAGATCAGGATGCCGAGGAGGACGAAAATAACAGCCAAGGCGGGGACTGTGAAATGCCACAAGTGGCGGAGGAACCAGTTAAATGTGAAGAATTGAAAAACACTCCAGAAATAGGTAAGTAAATGCGCGGCAAGTCGTAAAAACTTAGATTACAACTCAAATTAAAGATCTTCCAGATGAAATGGAGGCAGACTCCCCCGGTTCCACCAGGGATGTCCTGGCAGAAGTAGAGGCCATGTTGTTGGCGGACGAGGAAGACGAAGAGAATCAGCAGGAGTCTCAACAGGATGTGGCCATTAAAGCCTACCTTAAGGGCTGCCAGGGAATGCAGACAAAGAGGGAAGTCACTAAGGAACCCAGTATTCCCGAAACCGATCCACAAAACCAAAGATTCAAAGGCGGACGCAACAGGAAGGAAGTAGGTCTAAAGATTTCCCGCCTGAAGAGTCATGCCATTGCCAGGCAGTCTAGAAAACGAATGAGCAGCGTCAAGAATCGCATTCTGTGCGCCATTGACAACTTTGGGCCAAAGAAGCAAATTCCGGACGATCAGGAGAAGTCTATGCAATTGGCCCCAATGCGAGCTAGGGTACCGCTTTCCAAGACTCCTTCTAGACCTCCCATGAACGCGAGCCATCTTAGTGTGAGGAAATCTACTCTAACGACGGCCAGAATCTCCCTTCAGATGACAACCACCACCACCACATCGTCGGAAACAGTTGTTTCCTGTTCAAACGAAGTAGAAACTTCATATCAGGCAAATGAAGAGGAAGCCCCCTGCAAGGAGAATGAAATCCTTAATTTACCGAATTTAAGTGGGACCCAAGATACCCGTAAACTCTCACCCATTAAAATACGAAAAATTGAAATTCTTCCAAACCTCAATAAACAATATGAGAGTTCGAATAACGCAGGGAATTCAGACGATATTGACATAGAAAAAGAGCTTGCAGTGCTGCTTGGGTCGTCCAAGAACAAAGAGAGTCCATCTAAGGTGATGAATTCAAGAACTAAAGTCCAAAAAGTCAACAAAAATATCAAGAGTTGTATTACAAATCGAACTCAGTTGAAGACTACAAATGTGGAAAACAAATTAGAAATACTCCTCGCTGGGATAGATTCATTAAAAACGGCACCAACAAATCCAGCCTCGAACACGCCTTCCACATCGGCTAATGCAAAAGAAACCATCGAAGTGCTAATTGACAATTGTACTCTCTTGAAATATGTTGGGGTGAGCCATTGATAGAACAAGTTAAAGGATGACAGACCCCTAAACCATTATCCTCTCTTATCCCACATCCCTTTCAGCTGCCTGTAATCCACAACCCCAGCTATGAGGACAATATCATGTTGGACGAGTTGGAAGATTTACGCGCAAAGGCGGTCAAGTTTTGTAAAATCTTTAGAAATTACGAAGGAATTTGGAGCTGCCGAAGAGTCAAGTCAATGGGAAATGATACCCAGCAGTTACCTGCTCTAATACAATTATTAACCCAAGAGGTAAATGCCGTCCTGAAGTGTCATTTGTCCGAGACCGACATGAAGCGCATACTAAATCTAATCTCATTATGGTTTCGGCGAACTGTTGAACTTAAGCACTTCAAGAAGCTCACACTTTCGCCCAGCACTCAGCACTATTTCAATTTATTTTCCTTCATACCGCAAGTCACTCGATTTCTATTATTCTGTGAATATTGCAACGACTGCTTCCCCCTGGAGCCAGCCTACAGAAAGCACTTGATGTCTCACTCGTTTACAATTCGATGCCATATATGTCGCAGAGCCTTCAAGGGACATGGCTTTCTCGACAAGCACTTGAGGGCATGCCATGGCGTCTAGGAATTAAGTATTAATTGTAAATTTGTAACTGATTTAAAAGATAAGTTCATTATTGTTGACAGAGTCTCTGCTTCGTTCTCCATTCAAGTTGAGAGTCAAGTTCATGAAACAGCCTAGTTAAGTTGTATTTTACCTTATTCCTTACTTAAAATTATAGGTTTCATTTCATTTCAATGAACACCTACAGATCCTTCAAGGGACATTGATACCTTGACAAGTCTAGGAATATAATTAAATTGTAAATTGTATCTTATTTATAAGATAAGCTCATTACTATAGGCTTCTGCTTCGTTCTCTATTTAAACCGAGAGCCAAGTTCATGAACAGCCGAATTACTTTGTATTTTTTTCATCTAATTCCTTACTTGAACGTTTTGTTTAACTTTATTTCATTAAACACCATCACTCTCTGTATTATTATCAACAATATATTGGCCTTATCAAAAGACAAGTTGAACCCAAGAGATGAACTGACATCTGCTCTGGATTCTCTGGGCTTATCGCCTCGATTGCTCTTTTTTCTTTTCTTTTCTTAGTTCTCAAGTGACCCCGCTGCTGATGATTACGAAACCTGCCGCCATCTGCTAAGCAGATTCTCCCGCGACTTACAATTATACGTCTTGCCGGGCACATATCCGTTGGGTCCATCGGCCACAATTAGTTTGTATCCATTGTCGCCGCGTGTGCGTCGGCCGTGGTTCAAGTGGGTGGGCGCCCGGGGACAGGCGGTGACCGTACTAATTGTCAGCCAGACAACGACCAGCAGGCGGATGAGCAGCGGCAGCGATTGCCCCATCTCGGAAAGCCTTTGTTTCCCACGTTATCACTTGACGATTGCGATGAAGCTCGAACGACGGACCAGCGACCGTTCCAGACGAGGCTCAACAACAGACTAATCGAGCGGGAGAGACGAGCCTCGGACGGCGACCCGAACCGGATGCATCGGGTTATTTCGTCGTATTCTCTGAACGTAAACATTACTATCTGCTCCTTGATTAAGTTCTCAATTCCTGGGCGCCTCATTTTCTATTTCGTATATATTTTTTTGTGGTATAAATGTTGCATTACAATTTACAAATAATATTACAATTATATATATTTTCCGTTTCATATCATCATCGGTAACAGTGTTCACTATCGTATTTCGTAGACTCGTAGATCATAGATTTGTAGGTTGGCTTTGCTGCTGCTGCTTAGGAAACTTAACGCAAGTACATACTGATAAATTGAACTGAGACTAATCACCACGGCACTCGATCATGCCATGTGAGAGGAGCTATAAAGCATAGAGAGGGCGCACGTAAATCACAAATTAAGTTAATACTAAAAGGTCAGAATAGGCGTTTCCCGGTGATCCAAGAGATCTGTAAAAAAGAGAGAGAGTTGAGCATAAGGATTAAGTTAAGATAGCACATGAAATAACCCTTTTAACACCACTTACCCTTAGCAATGCTCCACCAGGGCAGTGTCACATAGGTGAGAAATGCATTGAGCGGCGTGGACTGCTGCCTTCGATTCTCCTTCCAGAAATGGAAGGACTGCGTGAAGCCTCGACTGGTCCATAAGGGATTATAAGCGCCATCGTCGAGTTCTGTAAAGAGAATGACCAATCCTAATTAGCTATCATCTTTGTATGTAAAAAACCTAAAATCTACACAGGCATGCATTAGAAATATAATTAAATATCGAGTTAAATGACCTTTTAGCGCCTTCTTGGGCACATCGCACCAGTAGTATATGTTGGTGCCATCGGGCGTTCGCCGCTTGGGCACTAAATGCAGCATCTTGCTGACATGAGCCTGCTTGGCTGTCCGCGGTAGCGTGGCACTGCTGGCCTCCTGGTTGCCATTGGCCACGTCCGTGGGCGAGATCACCTTCTCCTCCACTTCATTCTCATTGTTCTCGTTCGGCTGCAAGGGATGACTTTCCGCCTCCACTGGCATACGGACACACTTCTCGAAGCGATTGGTTGGCGTCTTTGGAGATTCAACCACCGGCAGCTCCTCACGTCCTCGAACGCTGATCATGAGCTTGCTGTCGCTCTCGCTGAGTATAGCCATCTTGGCCATGGCTCCAGCTCCATCGGATTCTCCATTCAGGGAAGTGGCGTCATCGGCTATTTCGTACTCTTCGCTTTTGGAGCTTGGTGTGGCCTTTGGATTATTATTGTTGGGGCCTTTAGTTTTGGTGACCGATTTGCCCTTGTCTTTGTCACACTCTTTGTCTTTGTCCTTGTCCTTGTCCTTGTCTTTATCCTTATCCTTGGCAGCTCTGAGCCGCTTGGGCGACATCTTGGACAGAAAGTTGCCTGCTGAGCCATTGACCTTTTGGTTTGAAGACTTCTTGTCATTCTCTTTGTTCTTGTCCTTATCCTTATCTTTATCCTTATCCTGATCCTTGGCCTTGGCCGTGCGCAGTCTTGGGGGTATGATCTTCTTGGTGGCCACCGGTAGGCTGGTCCTGCGATCAGCGGCACTCAGCGAGGCACTCCTGGTGATGCTGCCTTTGGCCTGCTGATTGCGTTTGTTCTCGGATGGAAGCCTAAAGCTATTTCGCTTGCCCACCACCAGCACCTCGCTCTCCACGCTCAGAATGCTGGTCTTGGGCTTGAGCCGCGTGGGCCGTTTGTCGGGCATCTTGGCCAGACAGGCGGGCGACTCATTGGACGGATCCTCGCAGCTGGGGCAGTAAATCTCGGACATTTCCGGAGTGTCCGTGTTCTTGTCTGCCGGCCAGCGCTTCTTGCATTTCTTGCCACCAAAGCAATTGCAGCCCGTAGTTGAGGAGCTCTGTCCCGTTTCATTGCTTGATTTCTCAGTGGACACTGTGACCTCCACCGCAGCGCTCAAAGGTGGCGGAGTCACAGCCGGTACTGCAGCAGCAGCTGCCGACTGTGGAGCTGTGGACGATTCTTGGGGCACCTGTTCAGCGAGTTTGTGGGTCTCACAGTTCGGATTTGGGTGCAGTTTAGCCGCGGAGGCCGAGAAAGCAGGACGTTGCTGATCTACAAGTAGATATAGATCGGTTTTATGCGTTTTTAAAAGCACATACATCGACACACATCATGTACATACAACCGAAAGGATCGGCCCAAGCAACTTAATGGATAATTGGCAACAGAAACGGAAAGCAGTGGAAATCATAGGTCAGAATGGATGGGGGGATGGTTAGGATGTCTAGTGAATACAACACAATCAAGCCACCAGTATGGGGAAATAAAACTGCTAGGGGGAATGGGATGAACAGAAGATAATTTTGGTTGTCCTTAGTGTATTATTTGTCCTGCTTTCTCGGCAATATGTCTGGTGTTCTTCTTTCTCTCTCTCTTTATATATATACTCTTGGAGTCGCTTTTGGGGGGCACATATAAAGTATATATATAAATTTGATAGTTGGAAGTTGTAAAAGGTTGAAAATCAATGGAACAACACAACACATTACGAGAGAATATGAACTCAGGAATATGAACGGAAATGAAAGGAGCAAGCGGAAATATTAGCAATCAACGTCTACAAGCGAAAATATCATGCAACTAAAGAGGATGCTCAAATGAAGTGGAAACTAGGACAAATACACATATAGATTCAAATTCAGACTGACCGTCGCGCAGATCCCCGGCCTCGATTTCGGACACCTCGCTGGCCAGCGAGTCTAGGCCCTCGTTCTCCGATCGCGCCTTGGCCCCCACACTGGGACTGGTGCCACTGCCGACCATGTCCTGGTTGTTCGCCGAGTTCTTCGTGCGCCAGCCGTAGCGCGAGAAGTTATTGAGATTGGCGCTGGGATCGCTGAGGCGTCGCTGATGGCGATACGTGCAATAGTCGTCGTTCTCCTCCTCCCACTCGTCCCACATGTCCGTGGCACAGAAGCCGGGCTCGCTGGTGGGCGTCTCCACGCCGGAACCCTTTGGCTTAGTCACCGCCATCTCGGCATGGCCCTTGCCCTGCGGTCCTTTCATCCGCACAAATTCACAGCGTGTTTGGACGCCGGCACCACTGCTGAACAGCCCGAAGGACATGCGTTGCGCCACCTTGGAGCTGAGACTGGATTGCTGCCAAGAAACAGAAAATATTATGCTTAAATTCCATTGAAGAGTTAAGAAGAGATTAAAACCAACCCTGGCATCGTAGACCTTCTTCAAGGCATCATAGCGTATGGATCCTAGGAAAATCACTCCTTGCACCGCTCCATCCTTGTCGTTGGCCACCAGCTCCACGCACACCATCTCTCCGTCGCGCACCAGAATGTCGCTGAACACCTCATCGAAGTTGTCCACCATGAAGCAGATGTGCGGATACGTAATCTCCTCACCCTCGCCCTTGGTGTCCATCTTCCGGCGACTGGGACTGGCATACACCCGCTGCGAGTGCCTCCTCAGCACCTGTAGCTCCTTTGGCGAGGTCCTTGTACAAATGGCCAGGGTTAGGGTGTAGTCGAACTGGTGTATAACCATATTGAGATACACTGTCTCTTCCCAATCCACATCGGGATCGCCGATGGGCAGTTTGCGCGAGTCCTTGCGGAATACCTCCACTTCAGTCTGAGGAAGAAATTGTATACGTTGAAAGAAGAACTTGTAAAGGAACTATGAGCAGTAGCTTACCTCAAATTTTGGCATGTGGCGAGAGGAGCTCTTCACGTGCTTCTTGCGCACAAAGAAGAGCAGGTCGTCCGAATCGATGCTGTGCACGGGCTCCGTTTGGAAGAGGAAGTGTCTCACGAACAGGTCGGTCCAATAAGTAGTGCCCTGGAGCACTACGAAACCACCATCTGTAAAGGGAATAGGGGTGATAAAAAGCTAATTTAAAAATCTATTAAATAACACAAATATTCCCTTCTGTTTTACAATATTTCAACTTTAAGAAAAATATAAAAACACTTTATACTTTACTTAATAACTATTAAAAATTTCAAATTGCCAAGTCTTAAACACTCTTTAGGAAACATTTACAAAAAAAAAAAGGTAAAAACGGCCATCATGGTAGGACAACCAACCCCCTTAAAGCTGTTCGACAGGTGAACAGCTGTTTGTGGCTTTTGGCTTCTACCTCCCACCCTCCCTCGGCCACCTATTAACTCCGATAAAAGTAAAAGCCGCTTACATAAAAGAAAACAAATGGTGAGCCAAAAAGTGGGGCGGAAAACCCACGCGCACAGGCGCAGCAGGCACACACCGTATCCCTTAGGGGTTGTCTTTCCACTTGACAAATCGATAATGCGCAATGTAGACAAAAATTTTCCCAAGGCAAAGAAAATGCAAGTTATAGAATCCCTGCGATATACCCACCATCCTTGAGCAGCTGCCGCATTTCCTTGGTGCGCTGGAAGTTGATGTCCTCCAGGAGCTGCTGCAGCGGCGTCTGGGAGCCCTTGAGCAGGGCGGCGGCAGCACTGGCGAGGGCCATCCTAACGGGGGATTTCCACAACTGCCGCGACTACGATGACGAATGGCAAGAATTTCACAACGTTCCGGTCATGGCAACGGCGGATGCGGGAGGAGGCAGCGAGGGTGAGTGGCAGCTAGTGGTCTCTATAATGCAGCATCTGCTGTTGTTGTTTTTGCTGCTGGTGTTCCGGTATTGGTTTCCAGTTGAGACCGTGATTAGCGGAGAGCAAACTTATCGCAACTTATTCGCAGCGCATGTAAAACTGAACTGGACAGGCTTTCGCCCTTTTCCTTAAAGGGGTTGTTTCCCGTTCCTCCATCTGCGCCTTATCAGGCATCAGCTGTTCGCCTTCTTCCCAGCCTTGTCATTGTTCTTTTGTGTTAACTATATTCAATAGTCGAAAATTCCACTTGTTTAACTCTTTTGTTGTCGAGCTTTTATTGTTTAATCCAAAAATAAACGAGAAGAGAGAACTTTAGCAACAAAACAAATATATGGGAGTGTTGGTAAGTGCCAAACTTGAGCGATAGCTAAAGCTTGCGAGTGGCCGGTTATCGAAACAAAGTATCGGCTATCAAATTTAAATTCAAACTAAAGCTTGAAGTCAACGTTTTCTTTTTGAATCATTATTCAGCAACCAACTAATTAGAAATTATTAAGCTCAAGCAAAAGCAATTAGCTTGCAACTATATTTAGTATTATTATTTTAAGGCAAAGTAAACAAAGCTTTAAGAAATTCAAATGCAAATTTGGCTAATTAGTTCACCACATCGTCATTCGGTTCCTTGAGCAATTTTATATCGTTCTGTAGCTCCTTCAGCTCCCGGAGCATGCTGTGTGCGAGCTGGCCCTCTGGAGTCGCAATGGGCTCAAAAAGGAGCATTCGTAGGGACTCTCGTGTCATGACCTCCGTTTGTTCAAGCTCCTCCTGGAAAGTAAGGCAGTTTACGAAGGGACTATAACGATATAAAACCACTTAACCTACCCACAGGTCGCGGGCACTCTTCTCCTGCTCGCTATACAGCTTCCTAGCCAGCTCCGCCTGTGTGTTGGCCAGCTCGTAGAGAGCTATAGCATTCAATCTGGAGATACCGGGAGTCAGGACCTTGAGAACCAGCAAAATCTCCTGGCACAAACGAATCTTCCGCTCGTAGACCTTTCTGTTTGGGCGGTGTGCCATATTCTGCAGGATCTGGCGCAGTATTGAGGCTATATTCTGCTTCAGGTCCAACATCAAGTAATGATTTCCATGGAGTAATCGGCTCAGTTTGGCCAGGAGCAGCTCTAACCTATAGATATCATCCTTGGCATGGAATATCTCCTCCTTGGCTCGCTCTAGCATATTCGAAACGAAATCCGGCTTCAGAGTGTGGTCCGGATTGAGAAGACATTGCCAAGTCCCAGTCTTCGGCTGGCGGACTATATAGCCCCCGGAACAGGAGCAAGGACTGCAAATGAAACTGCTCATGTGAGTGCCCAGTTCGGTGGGATCCTGGCAGCGTGGACAGTTGCAGTCGAAGCACTTGCCCTCCTTTAGTATTTGACGGCGCTCCTCGGTGCCTAGGAGCACATTGGTGTAGCAGTAGTATAGGATCTCGCCGGCGGCTATAAACCTGTTGGAGTATACCTTAATCCGACGCTCATCATCAATGGCGGTCACCAGATTGGGCATGCAACTGTGGGCGAAGAGTCCCGCTCGCCGATAAAGTCCTCTCATGGAGCCACCCGGTTCCGGGGCACGTATTTCGAAAGTATTAATGTCCAGGATGCCTAGGAGACCCTGCACTAGATCCTCATTCGCTTCGGTTTGCAGTTGCTTCAAAACTCCACTCTTCTCCAGAGGAGCATAGGCCTGTTCCTGATAGTTCTTCCAGATATCAGTGTCTCGCCTGACCGCTAGATGAGTTTCCATTTGAGACATTTCCTCGTACAGAGGCAGGGTGTCTGCATGCTCCCTTAACAGTAGACACTTCAGGGCAGACTGGACTGCAGTGTGATCTTCTCCCTGCAGCTGCTGTACCTGCTCCTCGGAAAGCTTCAGTTCAGCAAGCCTTTGGCAGTCGCGTTCATCATGATCCGCGCATTCTGCGCACAAGGCCAAAAGACGGCACTTCCTAAAAAGTTTATATAAGATTCAACGACGAATTGGAACTCCACTACCTACTTGCAGAAACTCGTGGTGAGCTTGAAGCACTTGGAGCAGCGTCTGTCGCCAATGTGGGGCAATACCACGATGGGCTGCTCCAGCAGCAGGGTCTCACCAGCTCGAATGTTGCACTGGGCAACTAAGAACCTTGAGGAGAAGGCAAAATAAGAGCTAAGATAACCGACAGAGGATTAAGGAGTAGGAGGACCCACCTGCCTAGCGTCTTATTATGCTTCACCTCACACTTCTTGGCAAAATCGTCGGTTACTGCGGCGGCCATTGTCTCTGATCCCGTTCCCTTCGGATACCTTTGGCATACTGACAGCCCAGCCAGAGCGATGCGTTGCGGCGACTTATTTTTAATTGAACGACAATTCTTTATTTATTTCTTGGTCAATGATTCCCCCTACCTTGCACCCCTCGTAAACGTTGAACCATGTCGCCAGCCCGCCAGCAACACAAGTGGCAACAGCAACTGAAGGGAAGCACTCCTCTCTCCATCCATTGGGCTAATCTAATTTATTTTAAATTTAAAATTCGACGCAACAACAGTGCCGCGAATCGTTTACAAACAATATCGATTGCGAAGAGAACTAAACTATCTCCCGTATTTCATTAAATCGGATTCAATGCGCTCCAACTCCATGGCAATCCGCTCGGATAAGAAGCCCTCGGCGGAGTTTTCGGGCTCGAAGCGTAGAAGCTCCATCGCTTCCTTGGCCGCCTGACTGGCGATCCTTAGTTGACCCTATAAGCAAGCAAAGAAAAATCTGATTTAGTAACCTTTTTTAATACATTTCCATTTGAAAAATATTACGATAGATACTTTATTTTAATTTTACTATAAGCCAAATTCTCAAAAATATTAAAACATAATTTACAGATCATAGAGAATGCAAGGAATTAAATGAACTACTTACCACATATCCCTTCTTGTCCAAGTCACTTTCGGCAAACTGCAGCTCAATAAGCTCTACGAGAGAGATTAGATACTCGAACAGACCGATGGCGTAAAGCTTGGAGAGACCCGGGACCACAGCCCGGCAGACAGGCAGCAGATCGGAGCACAGTTCCGCACGACGGGCCAGTAGCTTCTTGCATGGCTGCTCCACGGAGTTCATTAGGGCGGCAGCTCTCAAAATGGTGGCTATGTTCTGCTTAATATCCAGCAGAAGGAAGTGATTGGGATGGAACAGCTGCCGGTATTGAGTTAGCAGGGATTCGTAGACCTGCAGATCGCCACGGGCATCCACCAAAGCTCCACCAACCTCGGCCAGCAATTCGTGGACACTAGCGGCGGGTAGGATACTCTTACAATTCAGACACCTCCAGTCTCCCATTCTGCCATTGGCATCCATCTCACAGACAGCATATCCTTCGGCGCACTCACGGCACTTCATGCTGCTCATGTGTGTTCCCATCTCAGTGGGGTCCTGGCAGCGAGAGCAGGTACAGTCCAGCCTCCGACTCAGCCGGAGCTGGTGCTGTCTTTGGCTTGTGCCCATCAAAGGATTCGTGTACGAGTTGTAGATAATGTCACCGGGCTGCAGGGGAACCGCTGCGTAAAGCTTCATATTGAACTCCTCGTCCAGAGCCACCACGGTATTGGGTACACAGTGGTGGGGCAAACTGGCGCCGCACACAAAAACACCTTTGAGGGTGTCGCCATCCCTAGCGGTCACCTCGAAGGCATGGCTATCGATCCTAATGCAGTGGGCATGGAGCACGTCCGATGTTAATTGTTGTGAGGGAAGCAGCTCCATAATTCCACTCTCCATTAGAGGACGCACGACCTGCTCTTCATGCTCCTGCCACATTCCCTCCCCATCGCGGTAATCCTCCAGATTAACAGGCCACTCCATGAGAACTTGGCAGTCGGGCCTAGTAGTGGGATCCTCTAGCAGTAATAGCAGCCTTAGCAATCCACATATTCCATAGTTCTTCACCAGGAGATCCTTGCAGATCGACTTCCCCGCTCCCGAGGCAAAGAACTCGCACTCGAAGTCATCGTGCTGGCTACAATCCATGCAAAGAGGATACACTTGACACTTGCGGCACATCACATACGATTCCTGCAGGCACTGGGCGCACTTAAGCTGGCCACACTCCCAGTGGGGAGTTACCAGCAAAGGGCGCTCCTCCAGCAGCGTTTCCCCCGGCTCGATGGGTAGCCCGGCCACCAGGTGCCTAAGCCAGAGAATATAATTTTAATTAGCAAGAAGAGAGGATTAGAGTTCCAACTCCTTTTACCTGCCCAGCTTCTCATTGTGCACCTGCTGAATATTTTCGCTCAAGTCTTGCATCGATTACGTGGTGTGATGTGCCTCGGGGTTGGGGATGAGAAAACTATTCAGTTACTGAATAGTTCCTAGCGGCGTGGATGCCCGAAACGCACTGAGGAGCAATTATACAAAAATATACTCGCCAGCACCTATGCTGGTGGCAGAAGCAGAGGTGAATTCTTCCCTCATTTCGGGAGCCCTGTCGATGTGCATATGTATTTAGTCGGTGCTAAGTAGTTTTGGCTAATTGCGTGCGTAACTCGGAACGAGACGCGTTCTTTTATTTTTAGACCTCAGTCGAACGGTCGGGTTGAGAGGTGATATATCTCGCCAAACGTGCGCCTGATGTTTTCGATAATTTTATGTGGAAATATCAATATTAATAAATATTATTAATAAGGGGACAAGTGAAGAAATGGAACGGCAAGGGAAGAGTGCCAAGAAAGCATTCGTTGACTGTGACGATGTTGCTTCCTCTTCTTTTCTCTCAGTGGAATTTTAAGCTGATTTTAAGACAAGAAAGAAAGCTAACTTTGGCTAGCCAATGTTTGTATACCCTTGCAGGTAACAATTAAAATATATCATAACTAAGCCAAAAATGCATTAATTTCGATTCGGAAAGCAGTTCTGTGTTAGTTTTTATTAATTTAAAAAAACTGCATACCAAATTTAAAATTTTAAGAAATCAAAATTTTTGGCAATTTTTGCTAATTTTAATGATGTAACCCCTTATCAAATTTCGCAAAAATGGCAAAAAAATCGATTTCTTCCGGACATGTCTAGAAAAATTCGCATGTTAATGCTGATCAAGAATATATATGGTTTATGGGGTCGGAAATGATTCCTTGACTTAGAAAATTATTATTTTGTATTATAAAATCTTAATTTTTTTTTAAATTAAAAATATCATAACTCGGCCAAAAGAGCATTAATTTTAAATCGAATAACTGTTCTCTGCAAGATTTTCTACAGTTAATAAATCTGCATACTTCATTTAAAAATTTTGAAATTTCAATTTTTTATCAAAATCAAACATTTTAATGATGTAACCCCTTATAAAATTTTTCAAAAATGGCCAAAAAATCGATTTCTTCCTGACATATCTAGAAAGATTCCCCTGTTGATGCTGATCAAGAATATATATACTTTATAGGGTCGGAAACGTCTCTTTCACTGCGTTGCAAACTTCTGACTGAAATTATAATACCCTGCAAGGGTATAAAGATAAATGCATTAAAATGAAATTAAGTTATAAAGTTAATAAATATTATTAATCAATTAATCTTCCCACTCTGTTCCATTTCTCAATAACTATATATTGTTTATTGTTCTTTATAAATGTATCAAACATTGTGTGTATTTTAGCAGATATATATCATATATTCTTTAAGTCGAGATAATATGCATATGTATATATATGTATTTAATTAGTTTTACGACAGGGGGGACATGGTTAGGCTTAATTCAAGGGCGTGTTATCGGCTCCTCTTGTGGAATACATAATTATTTTTTGTAAGAAAACAAATGTAGCTACATTACAGGCTACAGTAGTAAAAGGCATGCTATTAGAAAGGCTACTCTCGTATAGCACAGACGCCGCCAATTCAATTGGACAAATGCGTGTGTGTGCGCGGGGGAAAAACAAGAACAAATATATGTATTTTATACACAAAAAAAAAGGAGAAATATATATATTAAACAAGTTTCCTAACATCCTGATTCCTCATCCTCAGTGCTGTTAACTCTCATGGCTACCGCTGTCTGGGTGGCGGGGCTAGGCGATGCCGTGGCCAACGGAAGCGGAGTGGGCGTTGGCGTGGGCGTGGGCGTCAGTGAACTGTTGGAAATGGCGTCAATTTCATCGTCAAACACGACATCCTCGGCATGCATCAGTTTCGAAAGATCGAACCGAGTTTCCTAATGAAAGAAGGGAAATGTATTGGATATAGTTTTTATCAACTATAAACGTAAAAGGTTTTACCTTGACTTCATCAACTCGCTGTCTTTCATGCAGCGCACTTAAAAGCTCCCGAAGGTGTTGATTCTCCTTACGCAATCGCTCCCTCTCCACATCGCGTTCGTTAATTTTTGGCTGTTGATTTGCAAAAAATTAATTAAGATTTCATTTCATTGAAAAATAGAGATTAAAAAACGCACCAAAAGCATGGAAATCTGCTCGTTCAGTACTGTAACAATGCTGCTGAGTGCATGGCAGGGCACACTTGGCTCCAGGACACTAGCGTGCTGGATGCGATTCGGCCCGCAGGTGCTGCCAGATGCTCCAGTTAACTTCTCCATTTCCAATGACGGTGCTGTCTGTGTCGAGCCATCGACTCGGGTCACCGCCAAGGCTTCCTTCTTAGCAAAAATAATATGCGTAAGTAAAGTTAATACCCGTGGAAGAAGCTATACTTACGGATACCTCGAGGTCCTCCTTGCTTTCCACCGATGTAGCCGTCTCCTCAGCCGTCTTCTCATGGGCAGCTTCATCGGTAGTTGGACGTGGTAGCTCATCAGGTAATCCAGTTGCCATGCTTTCATTATCAGAAGCAATTTCAGGCTTAGCTTTCTCCGCCTCCAAACTAGATTTTTCGGTAGCAACTTCGCTTGTAGATGGCAGCTCAGTGTCTACTGCTTCGCCAGCCAGCTTCTTGTCCGCCTCTACCGGCTCAGGTAGTGGTTCATCAGGAACAGCATCCGTGCTTTCGTCCGACTGTTTAGGTTTCGACTCATCTTTCATGGGAGCCAGCGGCGTCGTTGTGGAGGAATCCTGCGACTTGGACGGAATAGCTGGGAGGCGCAGCTCGTCAATCTCACAGTAACCGTCATCGTCCTCGTGTATGGCAACTTCGTCAAGATCAAGGGTTTGTAGTTTGGGCATCAGCCTCGATGGCGGTATTTGGGCCTGAGCCTGGGCATGCTGCCTATTTGGAGGCGGCAAAGGTGGTGGCGGCGGTGACGACGACGACGACGATGTTGGTGGTACCACCTTCTTGCGCAGCTTCTCCTTCTCGTGACAGTGGCCGCACACCATGGTGGACACCGCAGAGACCTCCTGCTCCGGCGTCACATGCATATACTCGTTCAGCATCTTGGTCAGGGTCTGGATCTGATCATAGGCAGCTAAGGCAATATCTGCACTGTCTTTTGGAGCCTCTGGCATCATGGCAATGTCCACAATCTGGTCATAGTGCTCCACGGGCAAACGGAAAATATCACAAATGATTTTCTGCTTCTCCAGCAAGTCGTTCCTAATAGACGCATCTAGGCGGCGCAGCTTCTCGCCCGGCGTAAGCACAGGCTCCGCGGTGTGTGCCGGACTGATGCTGATCTGGATGGCCGTGGGATCCACGAGGGGACTCTGCATTAGCAAGGTGCGCGTGTTGTTTGAGTTATTCGAACAAACGATGCTGGCACTGTCGCGTTTGGAGTGACCTCCTACCATTCCGTAGGTTGAGTTCCTTTCCTCGCCACTGGATCCCGGCCTAGCCGATTCCCTCGCGGACTGAGAGTGTCGCAGGGTTACGTCGGCGTTTGGCTCTGACCCATTCGTGGAATACTTGCCGGGCTCTCCAGTGCTGCGGATGGACATGGAGCGGCTAACTGCATCACTCTGGCTGGAGCGTTGTGACTTGGGTGTGTTCACATAATCCGCTTCAGCCACATCCTTATTTCTCAGCTGAACCCCTAAAATGGAGCTAGTTGCTGGCGCTGGAGTCACGGTGGCTATGGGAAGCATGGGTGCCAGAGGCGTTGTGGTCACCGTAGCGGTTGCCGCCATTGGCTGCGGGCAATCGGTGGTCAGCTCCAGGGACTCCTTGGTGCTGGAATGCGGAATGCTAGTGAGCGCTGGGTCACTGATGCTGCTCGTGTCATGGCTGGCATTCGTGGCATTCTTTGACCGGTTCTTCGACTGACGGGCAGCAGCATCTGAGATGTGCTTAAACCAACTGAAAATCGTACAGGAAATTATTATTTTAAGCTTCTGGGCTGCTGAAGCACCATAAGTACTCACGTCTTGCACTCGGAGCTGCTGGGCGCCCGCAGCTCCAGCATTTGTGATGTCTTTGTCTTGATGAGGAAAAAGGAATTCTTGTCAGCGGCCTCCTGTCGAACCAGGGTCTCCGCATCGATGCTCATAATGGGACTGACAGGCTTATTATTTACCGAAAGAGGCGTGTGTAAATTCTTTAAATAATATTTATCATCCTGCCGAACAAAAACAATAACTAATTAAAATGGTTTTGTGACATTTTTTAAGGATCAACTTGCCTGTTTGGTCAGCAAAACAATCATAGTCTCAAAGAGTAAGCCGTGGAGCTGGACACCGGGATTCTTCTTGATCGTCAGGTTGCCGTCGTGGATGAGGTGATGCTGGGTCAGGTCCAATTTCTTAAACTCCTCCTTGTCATAGGAGGATCTGTCTAGTTTACGCTGAATGTTTTGTAGTCTAGTTTTGTAAAGTAAATAAAAATAAAATATAAATAAAATATGGCTTAATATGGTCCCCCCTGTAATACATACTTGTGAGCATCCTCGGCTGTCTTCACCGCCTGATTGACCTCCACGAGGATCCGCTTCGAGGATTCCACGGCTCGCTGAATGGCCTCCGCTTCGGTGGTATTTTCGGGCAGCACGCGCACCGTCACCTTGTATAGGTTCTCAAACAGCAAAGGATACTTGGTGAGGCGCTGCAGCACGGTGGGCAACAAATCCTTTAGCTCGAGACGGCGGCATGCCTTGTGCGACTCGGACTTCCTCAACAACTTTTGCAGCGTCTCGTCCTTATTGCGCTTTTCCTTCAGGGCCTCCAAGGCTATCTGCTGTCGGGCACAGAACTGAGCCGCAAACTCGCACAAAACAATTCCCGACTGGCCGTCAAACATGTCGGTCAGCAGGTCGCCCAAATGGTTAACCACATGGTTGTGCTCGATGCGCCGCTGCTTCAGCTTCTGCTCAAAGGTGCCGTGTATCTCGCGTAGCGACAGCAAGGCGGGCGGGAAGAGCAACAGCAGATGGTCCTGGGACAACAGGTTACTCTCGTAGAGTGGCAGGAAGAACAGGCGGTCCAGCAGCTTCAGGGTGCGCACATGGTTGCGTTCGGTTTGATAGATTTCTGCGCCAGGAGAAACGAAAATAAATAACAGATTTCGAAATAAATCTGATATACTATACCATTAATAATCTCTTGACGCTTCTTTTCGGCATCCGTTAGAGCTGCCAGCATCTCGGCGGCCACCATTGAACTCCAGTCCACCTCATTGGCATCATCCTCATCCTCGCTGTCCAGGTTTCCATGCCTGGGCAACGGATGTCCCGCATTCCAGAAGCTCGCGTTGCTGACCGCACCACTTCCACCGACTCCAGCTGACGCCACGCCGGCCTGAAAGGTGTCCTGCTGCTGACAATGTTGCTGGGCGTGCTGCTGGATGAGCAGATGCGGATGCTGCTGGCTCTGGTTTAAGCCACTCGGCATGGGCTGGATGCCGCCCACGGCTCCTCCACCGGCGGCCGCAGAAGCAAAGTGCTCCATCGAAGTGCTGGGACTCTCGCTGCCGCCAGCTGAAGAGGATAGACTAGAATTGGAGCTGGCCACATAGTTGGCATTCGAAAGGCCCAAGTCCAACTGCTCATCGCTGAAAGGAGAGAGGAAATGAATAAATTTAAATTAAACACTTAAAAGATAAAATTTAAATTAATAATTAATAATAAAATAATTAATTTAAACATTTAAATAATAAATTTAAATTAAACATTTAAATGTATTTAAATAATAAAACATTTAAATAATACATTTAAATCAAAATTGGATTTAAATCCTTTATTTCTCTTTTAAATTCAATTAAATACTTGATGCCTTCGAAATTTAGGGTCGTCTTGAAGCTTTTACTACGATTAAATCGTATATTTCTATCCATTGTGTGGTTTTAATTGAATATTAATTCCCTGCTGACGATGATGATGAGTCAAGCCCAGGTGAAGAACTGCCAGAGCTGGCAACCAGTTGCTCAAACAGTTCTGTCAACAGGAAACACTGGACGCGACCTGGCATTGACTAGCAGCATGGTCGAGAGCGGACTGGTCGGTGCTGGCGTGGCCTACATATTGCTGTGGCGGACAGACAATATAATCGATGTCAATGCCGGCGGCGTCTAATCAACTATCCGCCAGTGACTGCCAGCCAACCGACCACATACATATGCGGTAATAGTCACCGTAAACAATACAAGGTAATGGCTGCTCGAAGGCCGGATACTCTTCCAGTCGCAGCGCCCTGTGGGGCATTAATGCCTGCCTGCTAATCATATCCTTCCTTGTGCCAACTTAAATATAGTTTAATTAAAAACTCGAAAGTAAAGCCAATTTTCTTTAGAGAAACAGACAACACGCAATGGAAAAGTTGTGAAAGTCAGACAGCGGCATTGCGACGCAATTCACATTAATTAGTAAAATTAATATCCGGTTACTTGGCCGCGCAGGAAAATGCTTTGTGGGAGTGGCCGGCCCCAGGCAATGGCAATGGAATGGAAGAATTTATTCGGTAAGCTGAGACAGCCAACGGAGGTCACATGAGAGTGCTCCTTCTCCCTAGTCTTTCCTAGAAATCGATTACCGAGAATACTTACTTGGGACGCGACGATAAACTTGGATCAGAGGTCTTGCGGCGACTGTTGCGGTTCCTCTTGTTGGACAAGCGCTCCTTGTACGATTCCGAACGATTTACGGAGACCGGTGCGCTCTTGTGCTGCGGATTCGGAGTGTAGCTGTTGCGGGATATCAGAAAATATATATAAAATATATTCCTGGAAAGCTTAACACCACTATTACTCACCGCTCCCTACGCAAGTCCTTGTCCGTTGCATCAAACGCATTCAGCTCGGCAAGCGCACTCAGATCTATGCTGACGGAGCCACTGTTTGACGGGGCCGTGGAGGCACTACTAGTGGACAAATCCATGTTGCAGCCGGCTCCGCCATTGGGATTTATAATACTGTCGTTGGCGCAACTGCCATGAAACGAGCTCTGCAGATCGGTGGTGTTCAGCGCAGAAGTGTTGCAGGATGTGTTGTTCCCATTCGATCGTATCGATATATTGGCATCCGGACGTCGATCAGATGGCTGGCGCACAATCGAAGCCTGGCTGCGGTCTAAGAATACAAATAAGTAGAAAGATTAGTGAATGAAGCAGGTAAATATTTACAGTCTTACCTGGTGTCAACTTCATATCCATCTCCTCTTCTTGCCGACTGCGTTTTTCATCTACAAAAAAAATTATAAAATTAGTTATTTCCACATAGTTAATATATATTGTTCTTACTGCCAATAATGTCGCTAGTGCGCGGTCGAATTTTCCCCATAAATTTACTGATTTTATCGTTATGGGCAAGACGTTTCGCCTGGGGTAGTGGCCCGGGACAGCTCTCATCAACGACTTTAGAGCAATGACGGTGTATATTCAATTTACAGTCTGCAAACAGGAAAAAAACATTTCAATTCAAAATTTCAGGAGATGCGGTGGGGTGGTGGTGGGGGGCTCACCTGTACAATGATAACCCTGCGGACTCACACCCCAGATAATCGTCTGGCAATGATTGCAGTGCGTCACTTCATAGTATTGACGCAATACCAATGGATGACCACGGACACTCATCTGTGGAATAGATGAGATAGATTTATAAGCACGCTTGAAAAGTGTCGCCCTATCTTGAGACTCACTTTACGATTTTTTCCCATAATACGCGACTTGAAGCTCTTGTCGCGGCTTACAAAGTGATGAACGCGCTCCACAACGCTGCTCGGTGGCGGACGGGAGATGAAGATGCGATACGTGACCGTGGAAAAGGCAGAGCACAGGGCAACTTTACGAACATCCTCCGGTGGTACACCGTCCTCATCGCTTATGTAAATAAAAAAAAATAGTGATTGTAATTAAACTCTAATGATTACAGGAGTTTCCTGATCCTTACATCAGTGCTTGCAGCTTAGTCAGCAAATACTTGTCAATGATTTGCTCCTTCTGCTTATCCGTCTTTGCCTCGGCCAGTTTATCATCCGTGGGACCATAGATAGTGCCTAAACCAGCGGTGCGTTTCTGTTGGAACTCGCGCAGCTGTTCGCTAATTAGATCCTTGGCCCGCTTGCGACTGCGCAGGAATACGCTGCGTAGCATCTCCCCCTTGTCGAACTCTGATTGCAGCACATTATCCACCTCGCGGGCCAGCGATTCATCCTGGCGATACCACGACAAAGGAGCGCGCGGCACAAGGAAAGTGGAGTGAATCTCGTAGGCCCACTTCCGCATATCCTTGGGAGTGCCCTCCTTGTACAGCTCGGTGATCAGGTAAAAGAGAAGTGGCGCTGGATCCGAGTTGGAAACCACATAGTTTAGGAAGATGGCCAGGAAGGTAACGTTTTCCGCCAGCAGCAAGCGAGTCAGATTGTTAAACGGCCCGTTCTCGTCAATAAAGGGCTCTTCCAAATCCGACGAGTTCTCGTCCTCCATCGAGAGGATCTCCTTCTGCGTGTCGCTCGACTGGGCAGCGTGGATATTATGGCTGGAATGTAGGGACATCGGCGACATGGGAGACGAGGCCCCGGCTGCCATCGGAGTAAACTGATGTGACTCAATGAAGATGCCTCCTCCAGCTGCAGCTCCTCCGTGACAGTTCTCGTTCGGATCCTCCTCCACGGTCATGTGCGAGCTGTGCGACAAGTAAGGCGGCGGCGGTGTTCCTGGCGGAGAGGCTTCACCGTCCTTTTCGACAATCTCCCAAGAGCCAGAAGTGGTTTTCGTTAAACGATCTGCGTGAGAGATACATTAGTTGAGGTGATATTGCAGTTTTAACCAAGGATCCCAAATAAGAGTTACGAGTTACACTTTAACACTTGAAATCTTACCGGGATGTCTTGGATGCATGTTATCCGGCGAAGAGCCAACGCGTCGATGCTTATTTTTGGCCAATTTCGGTGTCTGTCCCAATGCCTGTGAAGGAATTGTATTATTTAATAAATTATTATATTATATTTTATTAAATTGAAATTCCCACAAAGTAAAAAATATATTTGACCTGCAAAATAGCATTAAAAAATCTACCCACAAAATAATACATATAATAATTTCCTGCGGTTTTAATAATGTTTAATCAAAAGTGTTTTTGGTTAGTTTTGCTAGCTGGAAGCACATTAGAAATTAATATTATTAACAAAGGCAACTTATGGTAAGCATTGATTAATTGGATTAGATGGAAACATAGAGAAATGTTAGAGAGATGGCCGGGTTGTGAGGGTTAGAGTGTTAACTTGGCTGTGTTTCTGTTTGTTTTGCTTATTTTTGGCAGAGAGAAGAAGCCGATTTCGATCGATTTGTTTAACTACTTACTGCTGTGGCCTGGCCACCGCTCATTTGATGCTGCAGCTGCTGCTGTTGATATTGCTGCAGGTGCTGGACAATGTTGGGCCGCTGGGACAGCGGAAAGGCATTCTTTAGGTTGTCGCTCTGCACCGCCGTTGTGGTGGCCACCAGCGGATAATTGAACGCGCTGCTACCCATCGAGTTGGGCTGGGCGAGATTCTGGCAGCTACCCCGGCTCATATCCTCCGTCATCATGCCTGGCAATCGAGGTGGCAACGGCGGCGGTCCTCCATCCACTTCAATAGATCCACCGGCGGCTCCTCCCGCCGCACTGGCAGACGATTCCATTTGCAAGAACATCTGCGTGGACATCTTGGGGTCGGATAGGGCCTTTGCCTTGGCCTTGGAACGCTTGGACTTGGCATTGCTGCTGGGACTATTGTCAGTGCTGTTCGGCGATCGGTTCATCTGCGGACTGGTGGCACGATCCAGATCGGAAACAGGAGCCATAAGATGACCGCCACCACCTGGCGAGGCATTGCCATTCTTCAGGTCCAACAACAGCTGCCTGGGCGGATTCCTTTGTGGCAGTGGCGGAGGCACATCCTCCTCGATCAGACTCTTTGAAATAAGGAATTTATTCATGCCCTTTGACGACGATGAACCGGATTCTTTGAATCGTTGTTGCTGCTGCTGCTGCTGATGCAGGTGAAAGGGATGCGAGGTGGGCGTTGAAGAGTGCTGGTGCAGCGACTGCGACATGGACTCTGCCTGATGGCTCAGCCGCTGCTGCTGCAGGAAGTCCGCCGTTAGGCCAAACGGCGAAGAGGCTCCGCCAAAGTCCTTTTCAATTTTGTTCTTACGCGTGCCCAGCGACAGGGACGAGAGGGAACGCGGCAGAAGGGAGAGGAATGCGGGTGAAGTGCTAGTTGGCGCTGGCTGTTGCTGTGGCGGATAGTTGTTGTTGTGGAGATTGTGGTGGTGGTGGTGGTGGTGAAGATGATGGAATTGCTGATTGTTGTGAGTGGCGGACGCAGACAAGTGTTGGATTTGATTGGGCGTTAGTAAGGCGGTATTCTTATTGCCGGCGGCTGACTGCAGCTTAACGGTCGGTGCGTCCTGGGGTTAGGGTATATATCATCGATCATGGGTGGTGGTGGTGTGCGTTAGAATGCCGCGAGATGGAAGAGAAAGAGTAGAAAGGTCATCATGTAGCATCATCGTTTCTGTTTCACCTTAAACCCTTCTTTATTTGAATTCAGTCTTCTTTTCCTTTCAAAGGACTCGTCTTAAACCAATAGTTGTTGTTGTTACGAACAGCGAGGGCTAGCTTTTCTTGTATTAGGCTGAATTTTAATTATTTTAGCTGGGTTAACAGAGCGCGGCGCCTGGGCAGGATACCTTCGGTGACAGCTTACCTGAAGTATCAAAGAAAAAACCACCCTCACTTACCTCGGCTCCCACTTGATGGAGCTGCTCCCGCAGCTTCTTGATGTTCGCCTCCGATAGCTTGTAGCTGGGATTGTTCGGATCGCTCTTCAAACGCTCCAGGTTCAGTTTCTCTTGCTCCAGCATTTTCTGCAGCGTCTGGATCTTGTACGTTTCCATCTCACGGCGCTTAATGCTCTGTAAATAATTAAATTATTATTTTCCCAACTATTTCGCAGACTCTAAGCTGGCTTGAAATACTCACATCCACCGGCTGCGGTCCAGTTATGGATGCAGTACGATCTCGTCCAGAAAGAATGGGGGTTTGGGGAGTAGTCACTACAGACACCGAAGTGGGTCGCGTTACTTTTTGACTGCGCTTCACCGCCAGTTCAACGGTTGTGGAGGCTGGAAGACAAAAGAATATAGCATTGCATTATCTGTCTAATCTGAGAATATGTCAAAAAACTAAACGATAACGCAAACAAAATTCCACCATGGTCCTACAGAAGCTCGTGAACGTAATTGCCTTTACTAGCGCGTTTTACCTGTCACAACAACTAGGTTTTTTGTATGATCCAGTGGAAATTGAAAGCAAGAAGTCACCACCAGTGGAGACTGAAAAGAACAATGACAACTCCTTTTTCAATGAGGAGGACAAGCGAAGGCTGAAACGCGCCAAAGAGGACTTGGAAAAGAAGATTTGCACCAAGAATGGCCTATGCGAACCACCTCCGCCAAAGCCAATTACCGAATCTGTTAGCGAAGCCATTTATGACACTTGGTTGGCCGTCAAGAAGATCCCTTCATGCTGGTCACGGGCTTACGATAACATTTGCGATACGATATCTCGGATGTTCGGTGGTGACTAAATGATTTCAAAGAGCCTGTAGGACCATAATCCGTCCTATTTCAATATAAAAGCCATCAAAGTAGACCGAAACAGGTGTTCTTATAGAGAAAACTAAATTCATTTGTCATGTAAAATGTATCTCTCGATAAAAGGCTTCAGATTTTTTCTTTTTTAATAATTCTTTAATCGACTAAAGATAAACAAAATTGCACAAGTATGTCTTTTAAATTAATGCCTGGTTGGGACAAGCCGATGGAGGAGCCAGTGGTACATGCCGCTTCAAAAAACCCCGCTGGTGAAAATGAAGTCTTCTTTGCGGCCCCGCACAAGTACAACTTGGCTCTGACACGAGGATTTTACTTCTCTCTCCGCCTGCCCGACTGGGCCAGAGATTTTAAACTGCAGACCCGTGAGATACTTTCCCATCGCTTTGATCCGCTAATGAGAAACTATGGCAGAAAGGGCGAAAGTCTGAAGCAATCTAATCCCTACGGAGATTCTCGATCGGAGCGTTATGGCTTGACTTATTTGGAGAGCCCATTCTTTGAGGGCGTAACGCGAGAGAAGGCCAGGAGAGGGGAACGATTGCCCAAGATAAAGGATGATTGGACGTGCCGCAAGCGAGTTACCAGTCCCCAGATGCCTTTGCCTTAGTCTGTCACAAAATTATCTGACACTTTAGAATCACCATTCAGATTCGGGGTAACGTAACGTAACTCCACCAGACAGCAGACAGCAGCATGGTCTTCGGGCTGATAGTGCGGGCGGGCGTTGTGTACGCCGTTTTCATGATCACCGAAAGGTACGGCGTCTGGGAGTCACCGGATGTGACTCAGGATGTGTATAATGAAACCGTCGAGTACATCGAGCCGTATGCGGATAAGGCACGCCGCCACCTAAAAATCTGCCCGCCCAGGCCGCCGCCCCAGGGCGAGTGGGCGTTCTTTAGCATTCACTACTACAACCAGGCGGTGAAATCTGTCTTCGACGTACTAAGCCTTGTGCCTTACGGAATGGCAATGGTCCTGGAGAAGGTCCCAGGCTACTGCACCGTCCTGTATGAGAACACTCGCAAGTTGCTTCAGGAGAGCGGAAAGTCCAAGCAGAAGGAGATAACGATATCCAAAGGTCAGCTGGACGAAACGCCATTGGTCAGGCCACATTGCCAGGATAAGAACTGCCCGAAGAAACCACCTCTAATTCCGCCGCACGAGCACTGTCCCAAGGGTAAAATGGACGGCTTTATCTACGAACCGCGTATGCCCAAGAAATCAAGATGCGAATGCTCCAAGTGCAAGGAACGACCGCGGGAGAAATGGTTGGAAAAGGAATGCACCAGAGATTTAGAATTAAAGAAGGGCAAATGTGACTGTGGCGATCCAGTGCAACAGGAGAACATCAAAATCTGCAAGAAGTGCAAAAAAAAACTACCCAAGGACGTTACTAACTAGGCCCCTGAAGAAATTTCTGTGTTATCTTGGCGAATAAAATTTGGTCTACCCCACTTACCTTTGATGAGACCCACAACTGTTGGGTGCTTCTCCTGTCGCACTTCATGTCCATTCACCTGAAATTTTTAAAGTTAAGTTAGAAAATTCTCGGGTATGATAGTTAAGAGTTCCCTCCTACCTTTAGTATCATATCGCCGGCAACGAGACCGGCAACCTCAGCTGCTCCGCCTGGCTTGACGCTTTCCACGAACACAGGATTGTCGCCGGAAACCTGAAATTATAAGATGGAATGGTTAATTGTATTTTTTTAGTATAATATAAGTATATATATAGAAGTACTTATAAGATACAAACTTTACGACTTTAAAATGAATCATTTAAACGAGTAAAAGTCACAGTTAGACCTTAATTTGGCATTAGTATGCAAATGTTCAGTAAGTGCTTAAATACTCAATGTAAAAATGAGCCATAAATCACATTATTATGATAAGTTGTTTGCAAATTTGTAAGGGCCTAACAATGAATTCTTTTCAGGCTTTTAAATTGTCACTTTAACATTTATTTGATTCACTGTCTTACAGCTCAAAGTTCTATTACAAAAGTGATAAATATTTTGTATCATAATAGACCAAACTCACCTTCATTCCATATCCGTTGCCATCCTTGCGCACAGTCAAAGTTAAATACTGAAAATTTTTTGGTAATGCTAGGCTCGGCGTCGTTGGCGTCGTAGATGGCGTCGTGGGCTCCTGGGAATGGAGCTCCCGGTTAAGGGGTGTCAGGTTGAGACTACTGCGCTCCCCGGGCGGCGCCTGGAGAACGGGATTGGTGCTGGTATCCCCGCCCATTATGCTGCCGTTATTGTTGCTGCCAATATTGCCTGCTGCATTGCTGTGGTTGTTGTTGTGGGATGTGGGCGTAGCTGGTGCAGAAACACCACCGCTGCCACCAGCTGCAGCTGTTGCTATGGTCGTGTCACCATTCATCTGGCTCTGCTTGTAGCTCGCTGGCAACGGCGGCGTCTGCGGGGGCACGGAACTCTGGTTGTGGTTCTCCTTATCCTTATCCCGATCCTTGTCCCGATCTTTGTCCCGGTCCCGATGACCACTCAGGCTGCTGGCCAGACTGCTCAAGCTGCTCGCCAGCGACGGGGAACGTGGTATTTTCGACTTGTTGGCCGACTGCTTCTGTTTCTGTTTGTTCTTGGAATTCTTTACAGATTTCTGCTTGGGCGCTGGCAACTCGGGAACCGAATCCACCACAATGGCTTGTGCTGGTGCTGATGCAACTGATGCCGATGGGCCTGCTGTTCCTGCTCCAGTTGCAGTTCCGGTGACTGTCCCAGGTTGGCTGCCTGAGCTAGTGGCGCCGTTCGTGCTTGGATTGCTGTTGTTCGCTGATGTAGATGACTCCGGGGGCTGAATGCTTGACTCTTCTGGCAGCTCCTGAACTTCATCGTATTCATGTTCGTCTGCATACAAGTCTATTAACCTGTGCGAGATGTTGATAGAGATTTATTAGAAGAGAAGTTGATAAGGATTGCATGATTTGGTAGGAAACACTTTAGTATTAGTGTATAAAATATGTTTTAAGTTATCTAAAAACTATATTCAATGTACAGCGTAGCCGAAAAGTAAATTTTATGTTTATTTATAGACATTTTTAATAGATAAAACCTTTAATTCGATTTAAGATAATTAGTATCTAGCTGATAACCTAGCTATTTCTTTATATTAATGTAGTGTAAGTCATCAACCGCTAATTTTGTATAATAATAATTTATCTTTTCAACCCTTTTATCTTTATTTTGTGGTTTTGTATATATTTTGAGATTGGAATTAACATATTTAAAATAATGATTTATTTGTTCTCAATAATATAAATAAAAATTTACTGAGCCCTCAAAAACCAACCTAATTCTTATGTGTATATATTCTGTAAAATCCTCCCCCTTTAAAATCCATTTATCTGCAGCATTTCGCACAGATTGTCAATTCAAAATCGTCTATGAGAGGCAATCAATTGCTAAAGCACTTCATGACGGAACTGTTTTCTGCTGGCTTCTCTCGCTGACCATTCCCATACGGTGTGGTGTTCTGCTTTTCAACGAGCAGATAGCTAGATTAGGGGCTAATCAAGACCTCGGGACGTGAATGCGCGACAATCATGTAACGAAAGTCACGGCCAAAGCTAAAGCAAAAGCCAAAGCTGAAGCCAAAGCAAGAGCCAAGCGATCTCTCGTTGACGCTGACGTTGGGTCTCTTTTAATTGAGCTAAAATTAAATCAGCCAGAAGAATAGATACAGTTTAATTGCTGTTTATTTGATCATTTTGCATGTGAATGGAATGGATATACACGAGAGTATGTACGTGCGGATTTGTCTATATACCGGACTATAATAAAAGCTCATTTCCCGCCTGCTGAATTCATCATCATCATCATTATTATGATGAGTTATTTCCATAACAGCCGGACAAGACCTCCGAAAGGCCAAATGTTTACATTAAGTTTTTGACTGATTGGCCCATGTCAATAACATGTCTCTCTGCCTGATCTAAGAGAATTCTCTTGGTTCTATCTTTAGCTACTAAATTTGTGATTTTGAGTTTGGGATCTGGTCAAATCTCACCTGCAGCCGGTGAGTAAAACCAGTTAAAGCCCACAAACTAAGCTCTGGTGGTCTGTCAAACGATATGAAAAGCCACAATTGGCCAAGTCCGAGCTGTTAATAGATTTAAATCATTTTGCATGCATATTATACAACGCGTAGTTAAGCAAACCAAAAACACCACCACGATTTGCTGCACACCACCAAACAGACACACAAACAACATGCTTAGAAAGTCATTGGATTCGCCAATCTATTTGGGCTAAAACTTCCCCTGGTGGCAATAAAAGAAATAAATGGTAAAATGTGAAAACTGGCCGCTCCCTAAGTTGGTGGCACTATATACATATGTATTAAGTCATCCAGTTGGTAGTCGAAACCGCACAAAACCACACACAAAAAACCACCCCAAGCCAGGGGGAACTATTGGTAAAAACAATCAGCAAACAGTGCGTTTCACAACTGTGAGTTTAGCTTAAAAAGTTTTGCCCTCGCCAATTGGCGCTTTTCGAACAATGTTAAGTGATTAATCATCGGGCAATTGAATTTGTAATTTATTACAAACAGTTGAACAGTGATCTAATGCAATACATTATCTCATGAGCCCCTGAGCTTTAAGGCTACCACAATATGGCTTGTATTATTTAATTTTTGATTACTAATCGGTTTTTAGAATCTGAACTTAAACTAACAAAAGTTAGGGAGAAATATGAGTCGTATTTATAATCCAATTAGGCAGTTTTCCCTAAGCATTTACTATTCTTAAACAACCAAGTAATGGATGATCCGATAATTGAATTAATAATTAAGTACTACTACTTACAATCAAGGTATCCAATATAGTTTCCTTTTAATCGTGTTTTTTATTAATCTACTTTCAGTTTAAATCACCACACGGCTTGACCACTAATATTTGACTAATCCATCCATGATTTTATTTAAATTATTCATTTGCCACAACTAACTGACATTGCCTACGATTATTTGCATTGTAAACTCACTTATACTACATAAAATAAATGCATAATCGCATGTTGCATGCACATATGCCTTACGAATATAAGAAAATAACAATAATTAATGTCTCGCAAGGAAAATAATAAAAGGGGTATGATAAAGATTTATCGTCACTTTTGCGTTTCCAACTATGACTAATAGTATTCTCTTGTTTTTGTTCCCCAACTGATTTAAGTCGATTTATAGCTACATACTTAGTAAGAAGAGATTTTTGGACATTATGCTAGAACTTTCTGACCGATTAACAACTCCCATATGACTTTATTTGTCTAGTAATTAGCACGATAGTTCCCAAACGATACGGTAAAAAAAAAACTTCAGTTCTCTGGGATATGTATTTATGGACCTTTACAAAACATGCAGAGTAAATTATTAGGTTATACAAAAAATATAATTTAAATTAAAATTTAAAAAACTTCAACTCCGTTATATCTTATAAATCCCATTTAATTTCCAACATTTATTGCTGAATTATAATAATTTTTTAAAGTTTACAAGGCTCTTTTAACCAAAAGCTTGCACTTATTTTTCTCTTAAACCAAATCAGTAAAAGCTATATTATCACAATCTTTACACAATATACGAAAGCAATTTTACAATAAGTATAGCACCATCACCTTGTAAAAAACATCAAGAAAATCGGCGCAGTGACGAACTCACAGTTTTTTTATCGATGGGTCATCCATAGGATTTTCGGCAATGGCTTTTGTTGGCTGCTGCTGCTGTGCGGAGGCAAAAATGCGAATTCAAAGGCATGCGTAAGCCACTTGTCGGCGGAGTTGGAGTATTCACATTGGTTGCTGGACCAGAGTCACTATTTTGCTATTTTTACGGGGCTTTTAGAAGCTATTTTAGAAGCGATTTAATTGCGTCGATTTTCGGCTGCCTGCTGCCGTGCGCTGCTGCTGTCAGTGTATTGTTTGTTTTTTTATGGGTTCTCCGTTGCACTGTTTGAATGGATTTTGTATTTCGCACTAGTACTATTCGTTTGAAGATTATATTGCCGTTAATGCATGTACATTAAAATATTTTTCGTTTTAAAGCGGGGGCGGGGCGTTACAGGGGTCGGGGGGTGTAAAATGCAGGCAGCGATCTCCTTGCAATTTTATTGTTTTCATTTCAACACAAACACTCGCACACACGCGCGCACGGACACTCTCGCTCACTCGCACACTCCCACGGCAGCCCGTACACATTTATTAGTGTCCCCTTCCTTTGCTGGCTCTCGCGCAGCCAACAACGCTCTCTCACTTCCGTTAACGTCTGCGCGCTCTCTGTGGGCCGCTTTTGTTGTTTTTCTTTTTTCTGTGTGCTTTTTGCTGACTAGTTTTCACGAAACATTTAATGGATGACGACGACGCCTCGGAGGGCGGGGGAAGGGGGCAGAAACAAGTTTTTGGCCGAAAAATAAAATACTAATACTAATGGAGCGGAACAGGAGACTGGGGCGGTCCTGGCTAGACTAGACTAGCCTCGCCTTGGACTAGGGACTCCTATCCTACTTTCATCGCAACAGCTGATTGTTCAATTAGCGTGACAGAAAAAGATAAAAACAACTCTCTCTCCCTTGGATTTTGCACACTGATCTCATCATCCCGATTGTGTTTGCTTAGCTCGCCTAAATAAATCAAATCTTGCAACTTCACTCCTTTTTAATTAAAAGCAAATATTTAATTGAATAAATATGTATACACACAAACGCCCCGAGCGAGTGCTCGTACGCGTGTGTGTGTATGAGGTTGTGTGGGGGTGCGAGTGCGATCATCGCCGCAAACGCAAACGCATTTTGTGTGAAATTTCGTCTGTATGTCTCGCACTCGCACGCCCGTCGGTGTGGGTGCGAGAGTGCGGGTGTGTGTGCGTGTCGAGTGCTGAACTCTTGAACTGCAGTACGTCGTTTTAATTCGATTTTGGGGATGCGCGGCTTGGCGAGCGGGCGGCGATCGAATTAATGAGAGTACACGGTAAACAACTGGACGCTCTGGCACACTCCGATTCTGTTGTTATGTCGCCAACAAGTGGCGGCGGCAGCCATATTGTTTTGTAAAAAATAAATACATATGCCTTCATACATATATGTACGTGCCCCTATGGCCGTGTGTGTTTGTGTGCGCGATAGGTTAGAGATCACTTTTAGACAAATTTGCGTACAATATTTTTCCTGGCAAAGCCAATTGCACTGCTCTTGCGAGCTCGCGATTCGCGAATAAACTTTGCATTTGACGAATATGCACGTATGTGTTAAATTGCACCAGTATTTAATGCACGCCCGTATGTGTGTGTGTTTGTGTTTGAATATCTTTTATTGCTTTTGTTGCAATGAGCTCACGCAGTAGCTCGCTGCGCATCATTCTTTCTCCTCACTTTTTCCCGTCTTTGCCACTGTTGCCACGCACTTACTATAAACTATTGTATTCCGCCAAGCTCAACAATTGTTTTTTCCACTTATCGCGCCATCAATAAAACGTTCCAATTTCTTTTTGTTACTAACGCTAGCTGGAAAAACATCGACGGTAATATCGCTGCGCATCGCTCGGTAAGTGTAGTGTGCCCGCCTGCGTTTCCGCGTTGAATGCAGAAAAGTTGCTGGGAAAAGAGTGGTCACACTTAAAGACCCCATGCTCAAGGATTCCAATTTTTAACAGTTTTTCTCACGTAAAACCCCTCGGAGCGGACGAGAAGTCCTGGGAATGTGTTGATATAAGCGGATTTATGTCGAAAAAGCCTCGTAAATGCTAATGAGCGCACAAAATACAACGTTGCGACTTCGTGTGCAGCTTCTGAACCCCTGGAATCACCGCAGAGCTTTACAGCACTACCCAGACTCGCGTAGCGGTTTTCCAACACTCGGATCCAAATCAAAACAAACGTACACCAACACCCCCGCTCACACACACCCACTCAGCGTAGACAACAAACGCGGGAATTTTCGTAAAATGTCGTTTATTCTGTGACGGTCACTCGGGGCGGCTTGCCAAACAAAAGGGAGGGCAACGCACCCGGGCGCCCTCTGAGATATCGGACGTTGACTTCTTTTTGCCTAGGACAAGGCGGGTCCCAGGAAATAAAGCAGCAATACCACTAGATAATACAGTAGTAATCCTATAAATGCCATGTTGTAGTTCCCGTTCTCCCGGTTTGTGCGCCGCAGAGAGGCGCACCACTGGCGTCATGAGGTACTGGTGGCAGCGTCCTGAACGGGATCCAGGTTGCCCACCACATCGGCGCCCGCATTGTCATCGTCGTCGGGAAGCGGGCTTTCGATTATCCGGAGATCCTTTAGGTCTTCATACTGCATGCTAACAATCTTCTCCAGCGACCGGTCACTCAGCTCCTGTATATCCGGCTCCGGGGGATGGAAGCGGCTCAACTCCATCAGCTGCAGATGGTAATAGACACCCTCGTCATCGATGGCATAGAACTGCGAGAACTTGGCATCGGTGAAAAATTGACGGGCCTCGTTGCCCACGAACTTTATGCAGGCCAGGAGTTCTGGACGGATGGCATTGCCTCGCTTGTTTCGCCACAGCGGCACTTCCGCTGGCGTCTGACGTTCGGGAAAGAATTCGCGCGCTGCAAACGGAGAGTCTTCGTCCATGTCAAAGGCAATGGGCGCAGCGTCCACAGCATCCTCCTCCGGCGTTGCACTGTGCAGCTTGTGGCGACGACTGCGTCGCTGCTGCTGATGGCGTTCCACCTGGTTGTTGCGCATGTGCGTCACGTTCCAGAAGCACAGTTGCTCGGCACAGCTAATGAGCAGGAGTTTACAGGGCGAGAAGCGCAGCTGGCGGATGCAGTGCTCGTGCACCTCCTGCACCCTGTAAACCAACTGAATCTGTTGGTTATCCAAGGCAAAGAGCTGCGGGGGCAAACCAATTATTAGATTATTCGAATTTATTGAAGCGACAATGATCATGCTTACCTCTATGGAGCCATTCTCAAAGCCCAAAGCAAACATGCTGCCATCATCGGTGGCGGCCAAGTAGCTGATCTTTGACTTCTGGCCAATCTTTTCCTCGCAGATCAGTTCGTACATCAGTTGGTTGCCACTAAAGACGATTCGGAGAACCTAAGGAGGGGATTTGCATTTTTAATCACGCTTAGTTTACACAGTTTCATATCTCACCTCTATGGTGTTGTTTCCGTAGGCCAAGAAGAGAAGACTGTTCTTGAGATCAAAACCAACAAGGCATTCTACTGACTCCTCTGGTTTATCAAAAGCCGAGGGATTGGCGAGATCCAAGTGCTGTAAGGACGTAAGTTTTAGATAAACAGCATATTACTTTATCATTATACTTACGCAGACTCCGTTGTCGGAGAACAGGATAACAAACTGTCCTCCTAGTAGACACGCGTACTTGGTGCCCACATCTAGCTGCAGCGGCCATTGGTCATTGGCCAGGGCATTATCAGCTCTTCCCAGTTGAAATATCACAGTCTTTTGAGCGCCATGGGCAGAGGCCACCAAAAGCTGAGCGCTTATCTGCTTGAGGTAGTCGATGGGCTCTGCAATGAACTGTTGCGGCAACACAGCATCCCGATTGACATCGATGACCACGCCATCAATGTAGCCAACGAAGATCTGTTCATCGTTGAGGGCGGATATGGCATTTATTCTCGTATTGCTGGCAGCATGCGTAGGCGTGATTGTAGACCATGGCGATATACTTGATCTCCGGCGGGCACTTGGATCGGTGGCCGTTTCGATTTGATGTATCCGCTCCTTGGAGTCCACAGCCAGAAGCTGCGTCCGTCCGCTGGTCATGTCCAGCAGCGAACGGAGGTAGACATTTGGCTCCAGGCAAGCCCTGGTCATCACGTTCGTCTCATCTGCACTGTGCACCCAGGCGATTCTGCGATCTCGACGGGAATTTGTGTCGCTTACCGATCGCAGCGTGTGGACATGGACCAACTGCTTGCCCTTGGCGCCACACAAAACAATGTACTTGTAGACGGGATCACACAGCTCGTAGATATCGACACACTCGATGTGTTCGCTGACATTGCTGCGCAGAACGGGATCGGAGATACGAAGATCATACACGATCAGGCCCTCGGTGGTGCCCAGCAAAAGGTAGTGTCCATCCGCCGACCGCTTGCCGCAGGTGATGTAGCTGCCCTCCGGCAGCTGCACTGCCTCCGATTGCAGGTTTACATTGAGGCCGGGCAAGAAGTTGAGTCGCCAAACGCTGTGCTTGAAGATGAGCAAAACGCTGGCGTTCTGGTTTCTTCCATTGATCACATCCAATGACAAAGGCCTGTCGTTGTGGACATCGAAATTCGAGAGGTTGGGTTCTTCCCCAGAACCATTGTTCAGATCCCACACAGTCAACGTGCACTTGGCGGTGCAGACTACGTAATATCGTCTTAATACCAGGACAAAGCTTTGGATTTCCAACTGGGCGGTCTTTAAAGTGGGCGTCTGGGAGGGCTTGAACCCCTGATCTAATTCATCCCAGTCCAAGATGCTGACATCACCATTGCTGAAGGCCACATGCAGCTGGATCTTGGAGTCTGCCGCCACCGACGCCTGCTCATCCAAATAGAACGCAGTAATCTTTTGATCGGTATAGCTGCCTATGAAGCGCTTAACAACGCTGTTCACCAGCTGCTTGTAGCTGCGGGTGCCCGTTGGTTTTCGCAGTTGTGCTGAGCCCGGAGGACGTACTCGCTGTTTGCTGCCGCCACTGTGTCGCCTGCCCGGGCAATCAGGCCACAGGGGCCAGAGCTTAACACTGCCGTTACTGTGCAGAGTAATCAAATGCCGTTGGTTATTGAACACGGCCATCCGGAGGATATCGCTGCTGTCGGTATCATCCCTCAGAAGGTAGGTGTCCTCCGCCTCGAGCGAGACATCGGTCAGCAGCAACTGTTTGCTGGCCAGTGCCATCAGACAGAAGTCATTGTTCAGGTAGACGGCGTGGCGGATTTCGTTGTTGCCCAAATTAATGATTTGTCGGTGTTGATGGAAGCGGCCACTGAAAATATTTATAATTAAAATAATTACAAATAAGGATCGTAAAACAAAAGTACTCACTGCTCTGTAAACCAAACATGATCCTTGAATCGTTGCACCTGTCGGTGGGCTTCCTCAAAAATGGCCTCATCCTCGGCCATCAGGGCGATTCGTAGGAGGTCCGTGAATTTCGAGCGTATAAGATTTTCCTCGATTTTGGGCAGAAAATCCAGAATGGCATTAACCAGACGCTCATACTTGGAGTCATTATCTGAACGAATAATTATCAGAGTAAATGCGATTTTCCTTTGTTTCTAATCATCATATGTACATATATATATTGTTTTTTTGCATGTACATACCGCAAATATATGACTTGTAGAACTTCAGCTGCTGCAGTGTGTTCAAGATCGATCCGCTGGCATTCCAAGCCGTTGTATCATGCCGAATCTTTTGTTCCAGGAAGCGAAAATCAAGGAATACCTTGCGAAACAGCGCCACGCGCTCAATGGGTTCAATGGTCTTGAGATGGTGTCCGATGTGGCCATAGAAATATCTGTCCAGGGAAGGCAGTATCAAGTCGTCATGATCAAAGGCCCTGGGGATGCTTTAAAAGGCAGAAAATAATGAAAAATTGTTGTAAAGCTTACATCGTAAAATATACCAAGATTTATAATGAAATCAGCTTTGAAATTTACTTTAAATTATATAAAAAATCAGGGTTAAGCTAAAACTCACTCATAACTGTCAACGATCCTCCGATTTAAGCCAGCAACGTCATCAACCTTCACACTCAACTCCGAGTATATGGCGGGTATACTAATGGTTGAGTCTTTTGGCTGCTTCTCCACCAACGAATACTTGTGCAGCTTGTTCACCACCACCATCGCATCGTCGCCATCGGATTTGTCATCGAAGAAAACCAGAGATAGGAGCTGCAAAATGCTAAAGATTAGAAACAACGAACGAATGACAAGCTTTCGAATGCACAGCTCACGCACATCGATGGGTATGTGGGCGGACGGCGGGAATATGGAGAGTCTGTCGAACATTTTCCTATAACCAGCGGGTTCCAGAACATTCAACGAGCCCTCTATGATGGAGGTCAGCTTATCGCAATTCACACTGAAAATAAAAGCGGGCTAAGTATGTTAATTCGTTGGAAATCCCCAACATCTACTTACTGCTTCCAGTTGTCCCAGGTGGCCAGACCATCTCGAATGCTCTCGGCAATGATACTCAGTCGGCGGGGATTTGTGGTGAACACTTCCCTGGGCAAATCTTGCGGTCGGCATTGCAGATATTTAAGGAACAAAGACTCCACTTCATTGGCCGTCGGCGTCATCGAGTGTTCGTCCAGGGAAATGTGCGTTGTGGTAGCCGGTGACAGAAAATCTGAGACCCTCTTGAACCTGGTGGTCAGCAGGATTTTGCAGCTCAAATTAAAAGCACTCCAAGCCTTTTCGTTTTGAACATTCCGAAGGACAAGCAGGCAGTTCTCATACGGTTTGCTCTTCAGGAGGCGTCGCAACTCCGCCTGGACACTGTGGATCCGCAGCTTGATGTTGCTGCCATGCTCACTGCGACTGCTGCAATTGGGATCAATCTGATGCAGCAGG